TTTTATATTAAATTGACGTTCAATATCACTCTGTAACACATTACACGCAATGTTGTCATTTAGAATAACCTGTTACACTAATCATTAATTGCCTCGTTACTTTGCCTTACATTTTTTGAAAACGTGTATTATTTATTCACTTTCCCTGATTAATTTTGACACGATTAAATTGACACATCTTAAACTTACTTCCAATTCTATTGATATAAAATACAACTAAATTACTTAAATAACTCCTGTAACGATAATGACTGGCAACACAGCTACTTCGCCTACATATTTCCTTTTTAAACTTCGGTTGATTAATGTCAGATTGTAACTAAAACTTGATAATTTATTAATTTGATGAATCGTAATGTCTGTTCTAATTGAAACATATTAGCAAAAGGAAAATAAAGTTTGAAAAAGTAAGGGTTCGACTATAGTATTGGAATATTAATACTTAAGACTCGCCATTCTATACATCAAATGTAAATAAAGATACCATTCTATATATAGATATAAATAAAGACAGCTAACAAACAATCAAATTATTAAATAAATAAACTAACTAAATAAATAAAACTTTAATGCTAAGGTTGATGAACTTTAGGCACTTTAGCAAATTTATTCACTCTTATAGGAATATTTCATTTGTATGAGGTGTGCTGGTTGACATCGGGCTACAGGCGCCTATTGATCCTGACAAATGTCATGAATCTGACGTTTTGACGATAATAAAAAATAATGTAACATCCTGGTAAATTGAACTAAACAATCGTATATGTTGATAAAATATATAAATATTATATTTTCAACACTTTGTGCTTTGTTTGTTTGTTTGCGTATTTAGTTATCGTTGATAAATTTATTAAGTTCGAGGGTAAAATGTTTTAAAGCTCAGGAAACTTGTAATGTTGATATTCCAGCAAATGTTGTTGAACGGCATTCAGATAAATAGACTGAGCACACGCCCGACCATATGTGCGACAAAATGTTCAGTTTTATATAAATTAGGGTTCTAAAAAATAGATAAGGGGTAATGCATCTCAATCCGTTTGATGAAGAGGTATTTTCTCATGATAGCTGAAAAATTATGTCTTTAATTTGGAATATAATTATTATGCTATTCTGTAACCACTAATGTAGGCCGATCATGAGATTTGTGCAGATGACGAACAGTTACGAAGAGTATTGGACCCCTCAAAAACAGTGCAAAAAGCGAAAAACTCTCCCCTAGAAACCTGAAGTTCAGGTCCTGATGCAATGAGTTAAGACTTATGTCTCTTGTCATGACCTCAGTTCCTTGCACACTTTCGGTGGTCCTTAGGTCTCACATGGGGTTAGAAAATCCATACTATGTTTCATATGATAGCGTCCAATAAATGTCAAATTCATTGTGATCGGCCTCAGCAGGGGCTGCGGTGGCACTGCGAACCAGCCCTGTTTGCTCTGGACAATGCTGCGACACAGTACGTCAATGCCCAATTTTATTATTGACACTTGCGAAACCTTTGAGTTAGTGACTAGTTTTTTACTCCTCCATCATTTCAAAATTCATTTTATAACACTAGGATCAGACTAACAAGTTTTTCAAAGTTATTAATATTAGTACGTGAATCCCCTTGCTTTATTTATGTCATTGTTTTCTTTATAAATCATTATTAAATTTACATTACTTTACCCAATATTTTGCGGCTTGACCTAAGGCCTAAAAGCTGTAACAAATCCTACATCCTACGATATTCTAACCGTTAGAATTCTGATATTCACCCGCACATAGTCGCTTCATCGCATCAAAGCCAAGGAAAAGATGCCATATGGTGTGGCTGAGAGAAAAAAAACAGAAGGGAAAAGCTGCCGTCAGAAGACCGAGTTCATATAAATCTACGCGAACCTTTAAAAACCATTTATTTTCGCACTTAGACGTCGCGTATTATTCTTCCGAACGTTTGCCTTCTCAGCACCTAAAATGAAACAGCGCCACATAAGATCGTCCCGAACCTCGCCTCTGCGCTAACACCAATTTGCATTTACTTCATCACGGGCTCAATAAATTATTTTAAGGTTTACAAAAATCCGTTCGGGTGACTAGCTTTCTGTGATGCGGTCACGGGTTCGTATTCCGGTCGGGGCAAAAGTGAGGTTGTATCTTTCTATTACAAATCGCATCTGTTTCTGTAGAGGGTGACAAAAGAAAAGCTCAGGCGCGCAAAGTAATAAAGGTTCGGTCATGCTCGCCAATAATGTGTCTCGTCAATAATATGTTTCTTTTATAATTTCGTAATAATTCAATTACAAATAAATTGAGGCCCAGGCCTGGGAACACCGTTAGCTGGCAAAAGTTTGCTTAATACGACCCTAACTTGCCAAATATAGTAAAATTTGTTTAAGCTGGAATCCATCGGGGCAAAAAAATATTCCACTTTAGGGAGGTTTCCGTTTTATGCAGGATTTCTGTTTTGGAAGAAATCACTAATAAATTATTATTAAACATATTTCTGAAAGTTGAAAGAAAAATCTTCACAATTTCTGCATTAAAATAATATTTTTTCTAATGTTTATTAAGAGTTTTTGCTTTTTCCTCTTCCACTTACTAACACATTTTCTAGTGTTTTCAGAAGTTGAAAAACAATAATTTTTAGAGTTTTATGCTTTTCCGACCATTGTTAAACTGGTTGTGAAACTCATAAAAATGCACAGTCTCACTCTCTAGTGGTTGCTGCCGGACTGCTCGCAGTCTTTTCAACGCACAATGCATCACAGCCCAGAGAACTCTCTCTTTCTGATACCCTCGCATAGCCTTGACCAATGCAGCTGTGGTCGAGGGGTTGTGATTCTCATCGCGAGGCCGAGTCATGTGTGAACCGACGTCATGCCCTTACAATTTCCCAGTCGAGAGGGAGGAAACTCCCCTACCGCATTCACCTGGAGACAGACCCCAAGGTCGAATTTTACGTTGACCCTCAACTTCACTGTCCGGTTACACGACTGAAACGAATATCGCAGTGACAGAGAAATTAAAACAGCCTTACTGATGCATTTATTCCATTAAGAGATTCGGGCGTCTCTCTGTCAATTGCATTAAATTTTCAGAAATTTCGTTTTTTAAGGTTTTCTTTCGCTGCAGGACTTTTAAAAACACTTCCGTTTCCACTTTGGAGAGGTTTTGTTTGATGCTGGGTAAAATGCCATTTTACGTCACGTGCCGGAGAAATTTTCCGGTTATGGCATAATTTCGGGTTGTACGGATTCCGATTTAGCCAGATTCTCCTGTACATGACATTTAACGTTAAGAGCGACTGCTCCCGATCAAGAATCCCTTCCTCGCCGCTTTCGGCCTAAGCTCTCAGGTGCGGGCTGATGCAACGGAATCGAATTGCCATCCCTCTCGCGCCTGCCGGGAAAGGGGGGGGGGCAGCATAGGCTGGATGGGCTGGGCTGCATGACGCAGCCGTCAGTCCATCACGAAGGTAATCTCGAAGGCCCTGCAGCGCCGCCGGCGGGTGTCGCCCTGACGTCCCACCAGCGCCTAATTATCAGGCGCTGCCGCTGGTGTCTGCTGGAGGTGGCGTCGTAGACGATGGTGCTCTCAAGATGAGCGGCGGGAAAAGTTCCCTGCAATGTTTCGAGATGAGAGGCGGAAATTTTCCTTTCCACTTCAAAAATAACGTTCGGTTAAGGAAACAAAAAACGACTGCCGTTTGTCTGGTAAATTGACTCTGTTTTGAAGTTTTATTGATACACGAGTTTCCAGCGGGAGGGAAGAAAGGTGGTTCAGGGCATCAACTGATGTCACTGCAGACCCTCTGACTGGGGGGTTCGATTCCCGCCGAGTGGTAGGATTTCGATTGTCAACTAGGTCGAATTCAGTCGCTGTCTGGAGAACTTTAGCGGCCGGCTGCTCTGATCGGTAGTTTTCTGTGGTTTCTCCGATCTATACAGGTGGTGCCCTCATTTTGTGGTGCCCCGATTGTGGGGAAACCCCCGCTAGAGGACGGTAGGTCGGCGCCGGATCTCGCCATCCAGTGGGGGAGGGAACCACCGCCACATTCCGAGCAAAAACATGCACTACACGTAAGGGACTAATGACTCTAGTAGTTGACGCGACCAGAATCACTAACAAACACTCAATCACATGAGCTTCTGTTGAAGAGAATAGTATTAAAAGTATGTTATCCTAATGATCTAAGCAAAATGATTTTCCGAACGAAATAAAAGACGCTTGGCTTGTTGAACCCCTCCATTGTTAGTGGACTGTTAAATTTTAATTTAAGTATCTTATCGAAAGTAACAAAAAGAAGAAAAGTAAGAAACTAAGATAATTTAATTGTAAATCGCCTAGAAATGGAAGGGTTCAACTAAAGGGAGAGGTGATGATAGGACAAGGAAAAGGAAGGAAAGTTCTCGAGCGTTTCGTTGCCCTTTTTAGGGTACTGTTCCAGCTTTCGCCCCCCATTTGTGTTTTCGTATCAGAAAGGCCTTGGTACATGACTGTTGTAAGCAGCATAACAGGAGGGGCGAGTCAACGACAACCCCAACGTTGCTTATCAGTCCATCTTTTATTAGGTAAGGAGTTACTGTTTCATCGATTTGCACTTTTACTTTTATAACCGTTCTGACCCTTTACTGAAGGTTTAGGATGTTTACAAAATGCCCTCTTCATTCCTTTAAACAAAGAATATATCAGCACCACATATGCATGAAAGATTGTATATATTATATCTAAATGCATGAACATTCGTTCCTTGATTTCATTGCAAGTTACTCTGAGGTCCGCCGTTGACTGCTCGCTAATTGGTGTGCCAGATATCGGAATGGCAGCTGTTGACGACACCACCGTCATTCTGATCCCTGGAGAACACCAATCGGCGAGGGGTCGACATTGGATCCCATTTGCATTCAGCCCTTATATGTCACGTGAAGGGCAATTGACCACACCGCCGTTTGATCTTGGGATTCCTAGTCGGTCACCCAACCAGGAACTCGCGATGTCTCAAATTCATTTAAACTTCGTGACTTTACCCAGTTATCGAATTTGTCTTGCGGCAGATCCACTGTCGTGTAAGAATCGGGCCTGTGAGGCCCGCAATTCGGGCAGGTCCAGGTAAAATAGGTCTTATTTTGTGGCTGAAGGTTTTGCGATTGTAAGAATTGCGAACGTGAGATTTTGCAATTTTCTGTATACTTATCATAGACTGATGACTAGAAATGTGTTAAAGAATATTTTTATTATTTAATGTACTAATATTACTTGTGTTTGCTAAATACTTGTATAAAAGAAGCCCGAATAAAAGATTTGCAGGCTGGCTCACGCCTTTCGTTATACTACTAAGCGGATCCCAGTGAATTGCAAAGAAGTAAAGAGGAATTAGAAGTTAGAAAATCTGAAATTCTCACTGATCTCACAGCTATATTAATACCGTATTGCCGGTAATCCGTAATCCCCGTGTGTGGCTTGTTGCACTGTGTGCTGTCCTTGGGCAAGGAGGAAACATATCAGAGGAGCCTGGGAGAACGCATTCGGTTGTCGATCGTCCTCGCGGGCTGCTTTCGGTCTCGGAGGGGCGCGCGCTGCAGATGTGCTTGTGAAATCTACACGTTCGTCTCCGCTGACGTTCGGAAATGTCAGCGCCGATTTTTCTCGACGGCGGCGGCATTTTCGGCAAAGTGGAAACCTTTCATCTGAGGCGTCGGCGGAGGGGGCTCTGCGTGTGTAGCAGTATCTTGTTTCTTTGGGCGTGTTTCGCTTGTGATATATACCTGAGCTCCCTCACAGAAGAGAAAAGGTGGATTTACTACCCAACATATGGAAGGAAGCAATTTACTACTTTAAACTGCCAAATTTATCCACTTTTTGGGTAGCAGGAATATGAGTGCGTTTGCCTCCACGGCTGGGATCAGTAGCTACTTGGTCCAGGAGACGGCGCGTCGTAGGCACACGTGCCAACGTTTAGGCCACCAATCTGCGATCTTCCCCACATTTTTCTCCGAGAAAGGTCGCGGAATGGCGGTCTAAACGTTTACACGTGTGCCTACGACGCGTCGCCTCCTGGACCAAGTAGCTACTCGCAAGACCAAGTAGTAGATGACAAAGTATAATTGAAGATACGTGATAAATGTGTTTAAGGCTTCCGTTTAACAATTGAAATGCAGAAATAGCAAGCTTAATACTTTTTGAGTTAAGGAGAAAGATTTATTGAAAAGGTTCGTAAAGTTTGTTTAAAATTAATTAATTTATTTATGATATCTTTATAACAACTCGATTCAATTACTGTTTATAATAACTATTCAAAATGTTATAAGATAGGCATATATCTTGTCTTATTATTCAGTTTTCTTCGTAGAAGAGCATACCATGCTATTTTATACGTAAATTGGAGTTCATTTCCTCCTCCATTGAAAGAGGAATAAATAATGCATTAAAGGCATTTAATAGAAACGCTTATCGGGACAACCGGGGACTCCTTCCGCGCTCGTTATTCTTTGTTGCCTATTTGCGCGCCGCCTCGCGGGGCAAACCCCGATAACAGGCTTTCTGTATTCCAGATATTCTTAATTTTGCAATCCTGAAACTATAAAACGAATCATTGTTCTTCATAAGATTGTTCATGCTACGTTTCCAGGCAAAGAGCAGTGCGTACTAGTTCCCAGTATTTTCAAATAATTAAATTTGCTTGTAGTTTCTGTAAACTAAACTCGGAAATGCGCTCAAGCTGTGAGAGAACTAGCTTTCTAAACAAAGGTGGCAAACAATGAGGTGTCCAAAATTGTGCGAGCTGGCGGCTAGACCTCGACGTGGGAGGCTTCTTTAATTCCTTACACCTCTCTACTCTGGCCGATGCAGTCTACGAGACCTCCGCAATATTTTGTTTTTTAAGTATCATTTGAAATTTCATTTGTAAATATATATATATATAATTATATATATATATAATATATTATATAATATATATTATATCCGAAGAATCTCATAGAGTTCAGAGAGAGTCATATTTTTAAGATTAATTAAAACACAATTTAGTGAAATTTGTTGAATATTTAAGTGTCAACGTAGCACACTGATTAAATCAGCATGTCACAGATTAATTTTCTTGCATCTTTGGCATTATATAATTATATTATATATATATAATATATATATATATATATATATATAAAATATCAGTCAACATTTCACTAAATTGTGTTTTAATTAATCTAAAAAATGATTCTCTTGAACTCGATGAGTTTTCATCGTAACTGAGATGAGCCGTCTTGCCTACCTGTGTTGAGTGCCTACCAGAGTTACAGGACGTGCAATATCAGAAACTCTCGTCTTCTCCGATCGATAACCGATTGTGATTTCGGAAGTGTCTCACAGACATATCGAACCAGTTGCGTTCGTTTTCTTGCTCTTGGTGATTCTTGAACTGTGCGCTTCTGGGTCACTCTTGAACTGTGCATTTCATGTGCCTTTCTCAGTCGTGGCGCTAGATGTCGCGACCTTATCCAGCAATGCTTCATATTTGTCATCACGCGATATCTAGCGGCTCGACCAAGAAAAACGCGAAATACAGTGACTTAATGCTGTCTTGAAGACGGCTCTTAAGTGGCCTTGAGACGCACAGTTATAAAAATCGCATTATAGATGCTAATTTTTCTTCTGGAAGATTGTGAAATCGAAGTGTCGTATATAAGGTGTGTCGAAATGAAGAGGAGACCGTAGCCATAGTGGCGTTGCACCAACCCCCGTGAGTGGCCGTGGTGGAGGGCGCGGTGGTTTCCCCGCTCACACGACGTCGCAGCGCTTGCCCCAGCTCGGTCGCGTTGTTCCCGCGGTGCGCTGCGCGAACGATGCCTCCAGCGCAGCTCCAAGAGCAGCGATCCAGTTCCTTCGCGCGGAAGGGAATCGCTCCACATGCATCCCAGGACACGGCGGCGTTTCGCTCTGAGCCGCATTCGGGCCGCCTCAGCGTCGAGGCGCGTTGTGACCAACGGGGCCACGACTGCATGGCCACCACTCGTGAAGTGGCCGTTGAAGTGGCGATGAGCGGAGAAACGGTGCTTCGCATCATCCACCCTACGCGTCCAACAAGACGCTCGCGCCCCTTGCCAAGTTTCGCTGGGAGGTCCCGATATCTCCCCACGCGACTCCAACACCTTCGGTCAGAGATTCGCCCCCGATGCCGAGGTGCAAGACTCCTTACAACGGTGGATCCGCCAGCAACTCAGGAGCTTTCACACGGATGCCACCCACTCACTTCCCACGCCCTGGAATAAGGGTATCAATGTGAATGGTGATTATTTGTATGTGTACTGTTCCAAACGAAATGTAATCCGCATGTTGGCATTAAAGTTTCTTCCAATATCACTATAGCGTCCTTTTCATTTGGGCCCACCTTATAGTTTTATCAGAATTCGATGATCGAAAGATGCGATCGTTTTTGAGTTGAAGCGGGGCCGTCAAAAGCAGTCGTTAGAGGAAATGAGAAGAATATCGAGTTGAATAATAATGTGAATGATGATATAATTAGAATAATAAAGATAAGGATTATAATAGGATTAATATAATTATGACTAATGATGGTAATATTGAACCAAATATTAAACAAATAATAGTTTGTTACCTAAAGTTCGTAATTTACCTGCTTGTGCAATGATATGGTGCTAATAATTTACTCTTCTTTTCAGATTTGTCGGGAAGATGACCTTCATTCAAGAGGATGTGTTGAATGTAGGAGGTGTGCTTCCTTTTGGCGTTGATTTCGGCCATTAACATGACTACCACAATATCCAGTACTGTAAGTAGCAAGCTTATCTTTATTAGGACATTACTTAATTTTCTAGTACAATGGTAATTTTTCAATACTAATTTTATAAAAACATAAGAAATATTCAATAAATGTTGTAGCTGCAATAAATTTAGATCAAAATTAACCCTTTTCTACATTCTCGTCTACTTACGTAGTAATGAGAAAGTATTGTAATGCTGTAGAGGCAAGTGGCAAGTTTCCACCAGAAAAACTCGTATTTGGGGGGCCTGGTGTCGAAAACGTGTATAAATCGTGTGACTATATGAAATAATTTACTTACACATTGGGCATCCTGAATTCACGTTTTTTAAAACTTCGATACCAAAAAATATTGGTTTACGACCATCAGTAAGTCCGTTTGCAGTGAACACTAGTGCATTCGTATCAGTATGTAATGGAAACTACGAAGTAGATATTGTAGAGAACCAGTTGATGAGTCGACGTCTCTTATCAGAAATCCATGTTTATACACTGTTAAAAGGCCATAGACTGTATTTTGTCTGAAGTAAGACACACACACACACACACACACACACACATATATATATATATTTGTAAGTTTTTCAGTATGAAGTATCAGAATCAGTATGAAGAATTTTATCAATGTTTGATACTATTTTTAACTTCTTTGATGTAAGTAGGCAATTTACTTGGTTTCAATAGAACATATTTTTCTTTATGGAGAAATATTCCTTTACATTTATTTCGGGATTAGAGACCATTTTCAGAATCAAGAAAATTCCGTAAAAAAATTAGATGCGCTAAATGATGTTTCGCCGGCGAACCCGGCTGTATCATATCGATGAAAAGAAAAGAGAGGGAAACGTGCGTCTTTCATTCTTAGTTAATAAATTGTATTTGTGGTAGAGGTCAGAGAGTAATGAAAGTTAATTGCAAATTATTTCATTTAAATTTGAAGTTACATGAACTTGAGCAGTTTACCATGAATATTTGTATTGGTAATGCACTATACATTTGTTTTCGCTTCATTTGATGCATCCCCTTTATACAAAAGATAAAGACACGAACTTGCCTTGCAATCAATATTTTCATCAGCTTTTGAGACAGACTTGTTTCAATGCCCGAAGCAAGTTGCCAAACTTAGGACATAAATAAAATTACGGTAAACAAGTCTTGCCGAAGTTAAAAGTGTAATCCTGGAAGAACAACGTGGTGAAGCAGAACATTTAGGATGCAAATAATAAAATATTCATGAACTAGAATGCTTTACCGACTAACTATAAAATTACTACACATTGCTCTTTCTCACGTTTATGAAAAAACAGACGAAAATAATTTAGTATATTTTTCAACGCAGAGTTTACACTGAAAATTAATTATTTCAAATACATCTAAATCATTTATTTTCCTTATAATTTTAAATCATAACTAGTGGTCTACAGTAGAAGATACGTTTTTCTCTTATTAGTAACGTTCTGTTTCTTTGCATTCAAGAATGTCATAAAACCTGATAGACATACCACATGATCGTGATTAGCTGTAAGAATACTTGACAGATACAAAGTGAAAATGTACTCTTGCACCAACTGGACATACCTCCTCCTATTAATCGAAACGATTGCAGTTTTCGAAAAGTGAGGATTTTTAATGAATAAGATCGAAGGAAAAATTAAAGAAACCCTTAGGACCGTTTTTGAAAAAAACATTTTTTATAAATTGATTTTTCTTGGAACAAAAATTTCACGAAAACTACTCACTGTTTCAAAACATTGTACTTATTGAAAGACATTTTGAGACCACATTTTATGAAGGGAAAATGCTTATTATTAATATTGTAGTTTTGCAAATGTAATGTTTTGCTATTTATAGAAATTACCTAGTTCACCGAATTTCACATCTGTGCAATTCTGTATTTTCAAAAATTGCAAAGAGTTAACATTTCATATCCACAAAATTAAAGATAGAGATATTTGCCTTCAACAAATTGTGTTCTAAAAAATCATCTCTTCAATAAAGGTCGTGTACAATTGATTGAAAAAACGAAAAATGTATGTTTTAAGTTCATGTAAATTACAAAAAGGTTTTTTTCTTCAAAAATCGTTCCAAATTTTTCTTCGATTTTTCCCCCACAAATAGGGCAAATTAAAAGAGATTCACTGATCTCATTTTTTTCTGAACTCTCTGAATTATGAAAATTGCAAATTTATACATAAGTGAGAAAGATAGGACGTGGTTCGCAGGTGAAACGAACGTGGCGACTGGACCATCATGCCTCCTTGAATCTACCGCTTTGCGATCGATCTCTCAACTGCCAGCTAATAGTGTTTGCTTTTTTAATTGCACCTGTCAGTCACAAATGCTCATCAAATTAGGACCGGAAAAATTAATTACCTATCAAATTCAATTAAGCCGTTACACATTATTCCTGGAAAATGTGTTGTTTTTTTTGTTTTTGAATCAGGTGAAGTAATTTGCTCTGCAATTTACACTTGCATGTAATATTTATTTTCAGGAAATTATATTTTCTCAAATACATTTATATTTTTTAAAATTTTTTTCAGTGTTTCTTCCCTGATAATAGAATTGAAATAACGCATTAAACGAATCTGTAGGCAATTCCTTAGGGGTATTGTTTGAAATTGATAGAATGAAATGTACCAATTCAAATTCATTTGCGTATTCACTTAAGAACTTTCACGAATACTTGTTGTGTACGAAGAACAGATAGCATGAGAATGCCGCCAATTAAGACGCTAATACACAGGTACACATTTCATGCAAGTAACCTTAACTATCCCCTGCACACAGCTGCTGTTTGCCTCGTGAATTTGTGCGTATTTAGATTGGTGACGTGTGTTTTAGTGCCCAGGTGAGAATTCCTAGTCGACCATGATTGCGAAATATCAACGAATGAAGTCCCAAGTTACGGACAACAGGGATTTTCAAAGATCGGAGTCGAGTGGCGAGAAGACACTTTCATCGGCGCTTCTGAGCCGGACCGCAACGCTCAGAAACCCTGAACGCGATCCCTGACTTAAAGGCCCGGCGTCCCTCAGGTCACTGCATCGCAGCTGCCTCTGTCATATCCGACGGCTACAGTACACCGGTCGCGGAAACAACTATATCGATTACGCTGACAACTGTGAAGCGGCGAAAGGCGGAAACGGAAGTGAAGGTGACCGGTGACACAGGCGGAGAGATCAGGAAACGAGGGATGGCGGGAGAATGTAATGAGTGGCGTCATAAAGGCAGGAAATGGCACTTGCAGAGGAGTGGGGGTGAGAACAGACTCCGGCGCGGGGTGGCTCAGACACGTTGATAGTCACACGAGCACAATACCAGGCCAGGGCGTCTTCGGCACTCGTGGCGACATAAAGAATCTTTACGGTCGGGACCGAATCAGGTCAATGGGGCTGTATCGACTTTCACATACGAGAATTCCTCCCCCACACCTTCTTCTATGTAATGGTCAAGGGCTTGTGAGAAAGCCGACCCTCAACGCTTTTGATGAAAGAACACAAGTGTGAAGAAAACCATAATAGATTTTTACTTTCTCGCATACTGCATACGTAATATATAGAAAGCTATGTAATGCTGCAGCGAAAACGACGATTTTTCGGCGAAAACGACAAAATTCATATTGTAGATCTCTGGTAACTAAAAAGTGGATAATTTTTGTTCCCATCTAGTAAATTACTTCCCCTTACACATGTAGCCCGATTCCACATTTTGTGGGTATTAATACGTACCGAACAATTGATTATTTGCCTGTCCGTCTGCCCGACTGTCAGTCAGTTTGTCTGTCTGTGAACAACGCCAGCACTGGTAGCTAAACCGTAAGCAGGATGATCGCAACGGACATTACCCAATCAATCTGGCTGATGTTGCCGCCCCTTGAACTCGAAACCGATATTTTAATTTTTGGGGATACTTAACACGAGCGCTCAAGGACATTTCTAATTTCTTCTCGAAAATGACTACGTTTTCGGTTAGACTTGGGATGGGCTCCCGTAAGAAGGTTTCACAGGAGAGCACGATACTGTAGGGGTCCTAGGAGCGTTTTTGATTTTGCTTTTGTCACGTTTCCCTGAACCATTGAGCAAATGCTGAAATGGTCACTTCTCTCGGATATGAACACACATGTAGGTTCACTATGCGCACGTTTTGTTGCACTCTTTCTTGAAGTGGTGGTAGTGGTAGGAGTAGAGTTGGACGTGAAATGCTTTTTTGTTGGCAATACAGAGGAATCAAATCTGGAGTTCGTTTGCCGATGCAAATACGTTTTCTATAACTCGGAACTAAAATATTTAGTTTCTACAAATGTTGCTAATCTTACGTTTTTTTCAATTAAAAATATGTTTTAACTATTATTATTCTTTCAAGTGTGTATATAGTTGTAATGTTGGGAAGGGGAACTTAAGAGGACGTGCGCAGTTGATTTTCTCCCCCAGACGTCCCATGCAGTTCCTACTGTTCTACTAAATAAATCGAATGAAGCGCCCCGCTGTCGCCCCAGGCCCAGCGCCAGCGCCAGCGCTGTGGGATCCCGGGGGCATCGAGCCTTGCTGCAATCCAGAGGCGTCGCGGGGCGCGAGGGGACAGAGACGGGGCCGTGGGGGGCAGGGGATGTGATTTGTGGCGGAGGACGGCAGGGGGTGGGGTCAGGGGAATAGTGAAAGTGCTGATGGGAGGTGTGGCGAGGTGGTGAAGGAGTGGCGTGGGTGATGGGAAGACGTAGCGTGGCTGGGAGTCGGGGCGGGCGGGGAGAAGTGGCTCAGGGCGTAGGGGCGGCTGGCCCTATTGGCGGGGGGCGCTTCGGAGAGGAGGCTTGACGGTGTGGGGGCAGTGTGGTGAGACGGGGCGGGGCGGGACCGCACAAAGTGTGCGGAGTACAGCGAGGAAGGGATGGCGAGTTGCGGGGTTGGAGTGTGGGGAGGCGAAGCGTGGCACGTGACCCGTGTCTTGGTGGGCGGAGGGCGTAAAGGTTTTATCTGTAGCATTGCGGGGAAGGAACCACGAGGAGTCGCGGGGGAGGCGCAGGAGCGTTGGGACGCAATGAAGTGGAGCGCTGGGCACGGAAGGCCTGAAGCAGCGGCGAGGGACGGGATGGAGAGCGGAATATCAAGTAGCGGTTCGCGCAACATCAAACTGTGAGTGGCAGGAAAAAAGCGCGGAGCACACGTGGGGCGATGCTAGGAAGAGAAGGCTCTGAAGCAGATCACGTTACAAGACGTGAAGGCAACAGGACCAAAAAGAAATATCGACCAATTCGTGTTGCCGGGTTCGGTTCTTAGTGATTCTGCCATCCTCGACGATTTTGCGACATCAATGCTTAGATTTAACTACATATTTCCCACTCACAGTTTTCACTAGTTTCACGATCGAATCTGTCGAGTTTTCTGTGTCATCTGTACAGCGAATATGTCAAGCTTTCACTGTCAATGTTTTATGTTCCATCGGACATCTTGGGAATACTGTTTATTGCAATGGTTAAAACGTTAATGTTGATGATTTTATGTCGGAGATGTCAAGGCCCAATGAACAGCTCCGCCTCTCCCGAAGGGAGCAGTTATGAGGTGGCGCTGTAACTTACACTAGAGATAAGATGACGCAGAGGTTAAATCAATTTCAATACACATCACACAATCAAACATGTTTAAATTCACTGTAAAGTAAAGAAAAGAACGGAAAGAAAGACATGACTGAGGGTGCTAAAGGCAAAGAGAGTGTAGGAGAAGAGAGAGATTGCAACCCCTTTCTGAATTCCCTGCGCGACGTCCGTAAGCCTCTAACCCCACGTTGTCTTTTGAGTTGTGTGTGTGTGTGTGTGTGTGGCAGGCGGGGGCGGCGGCGCCGCGCAGCGAGGAGCAGCAGGCGCAGCTGCTGGGCGCCGGCCAGAGGGCGTGCGCGCGGCGCATCGCGCACGAGGCGACGGCAGCGCTCCGGGCGGACGGAGGCGCAGGCGGTGAGCACCGGCGCGGCGCAGTTGCTGCCATCTACCCGCTCTTTGCGACACCACAAGCAGTCGGCTCGAATAGCCCGCAACTACAGTACCAGCAGCGTACAAGCGCCGCGGACAGTTCTCTCGCCACGTGCTGCGATACTTCATGAGACCTTTTTTTGAAAGAATTGTTGTACGAGGAGTATTGTGTACTTTCTCACAGCCACTGTTCAGCGTCGTCCTTCATCTGACGCGCTCGAAGTTGTGGAGGCGACATGTTCGGTTGTGGCGAAGGTTTTGAACCTGATATGAAGACGTGTCATTGCCTCTCGGTAAATGTTAACGTTTTGAGATTTCATTGATTAGTGATGTAGATGATGTATGACCCCAGCGCATCTGCCAGAATCGCTTATACACTGCGGTACTGCAGATCATTTTCTTTGCGGATTAAAATAACGGAGTTGTTTTGTTTGTGGTGGCGTACTGATCTTGACTTTATAACAACATATTTCGTTGCCTTGTTATTGCCACGCTTCTCACAACTTTCCAAATATGTAATATATTATGAATTATGTATTGTGCATTATATATTGTAATTTATTTTCGTTTATTGTCGCGATACACAAAACGAATTGTTGGCGGTTCACCCGCTCTGCTCAACCTCGTTTAGACTCGAGTTATTCCTATGAAAAGAAACATCAGCGGACACAACATTCTTAATTGCTACCAATTTATTTGCCTAATGTTCAAATAGGAAAAACATGTGCAGTTGTACATATAGTAACAATACATACTCGTACTCACGTGATTTATTAGCTTATTATTGAGCACTATAAAAAGCCTCAATTACAATTCGAATGATATTTTTACATGAAATGTACAGTTCTACAAATACTATTTATAAAAAATGCAATTTTGTATATAATCATCCTGCTTGAAAAATTCAAGAAATAATTTGCTTCTGTTTGAACATGAAACAGAAAGCCCTGAAAAGTGGAACAAAGAAACTGCCCATTATTCCTATGGCCAAAGTTTAGAAATCTTATGGAACAGTAATAAATAACATTAATTTTATCATTTACTTTATTCCATTTCAGAGGAAATGTCAACTTCCTTTATGTATTCCTTCCTGTATTCAAATTAGCTGTATAACGCGATTTTTTTATCAATACCTTCTGCTTTGTGTTAAATTGTGCAGACATGGAGAGAAATAATTTTCCATTTGTCTTAAAACTTCACTTCAAAATTTTTCACCTTCTTTAATTTAAATTAATAAAGTTTGCATGGATTTCTGGGTGTTTTGACTTGTAGTTCTTGGATATTCCTTTTTTGTGTTAACATGAACTGTTGGAAGTATCTGTAAATCGAATCTTTTCGGGTATTGGCGCTAATGTGTTAAAACAACGAGGTACTGCTGACATAATTTCGAAATTCAAATTTTGATTTACATAGTAGTAATCTCTCGTTTTTGACTCTTTTTCATAATTGTTTCAACTCTAGTTTGTAGTATTTTTCAAAAGCTTAATATCTCTGCTTCAGGTCATTTCCGTATTTTTCATGTCTCTAGTTATTAGTTTCCAAATCCTTCTGATGACATTTCCTTTCACGTCTTACTATTTCTTGACGTAAATTGAACTTCATCGTCAAATTGAACATCCAACTTCAAAAACGAATATTAAATTAATGTATACCTATATCTAGTTATTATAATGTCACCAATGGTTGGAAAAGATTTGTTATACCCTTTGTAAAACTGAGTGCCAAACTGATTCGTTCATTTTAAACAACAGAATTCAAATTGAAAACTTCTTTTTTAAATAAAATGGGGCTTGTTTCAAATCCAGCTATCCCTTGTTTGTGCTTTTGGTACCGAGCCTAAAATACATTTCATCTGCTGCCATTTCGTTCGACGAGTTAATGTAGATTTCATCGATTATTTGGATGAAAATATTTACATTACCTTGTATAATTTGAACGATCAACTATGTTAAGATTGTGTAATTGGCATGGATATTGCTGAGTTTAAGTAACGACTTGGTAATTTCTGATCTTGATCTAATATTCTATAGTCTTTATTGTCTTCATCTACGGTATTACTTCTATTGTCCCTTTTTATTAGCTCAAATACGATAATCAGTTTAAGACGTTACGTGGAATTTACAATGTTCAGATTGCCACATTTTAAGAAAAGCTCTTTCTGAAGATATTTCGGTCATATTGATAGCTATTTTTATTACAAAAATAACATGCCTTTTGCGAAGTTTTAACACAGCAGTCATATATATGCGTTGCAGTACTAAAATTGTCCTACATTAAACATAAATATAACTCACGGTATCACAGTTGAACGTGTTCATACAAAAACGAGAATTACATTGAACAGATTACTGGTTAAATAAATTGCGTGAGCAATTATGTAATAAACCTCCACTTCGCTGTAGACAACTGAAAACTGTTTGGGCCATCCGGTATGCAGCAAACAGAAATATGTTGGCTGAACTCAAGTATTTTTCCGTACTGCAATGCCAATTACTATTTCCAAAAATGAACGTGATTGTCTGGCTTTGGAACCAGCTCGCTCCTGTTACTTGTGTTCCGCGCCGAGGGTGTTCAAAAGGCGGTTGCCGCTGGCGGCGGCGGTGCGCAGGGGCGTCGTGCCCGCCGGTGTGGGACGGCATCCTGTGCTGGCAGCGAGCAACGCCCGGCCAGCTGCTCACCCAGCGCTGCCCCGCCTACATCGCTGGCTTCCACTCGCAGGTGATCACACACACACACACACACACACACACACTTCTCTCTCTTTTTCATTTATTTAGTCACATCGGAAACTGGAATCACCTTGTTAATCCTGAGAGTACAGGCATGGGTACAATACTTGGTCAGATTTTACATATATTTGGCCTCAAGAAACATGTTGTCCAGCAGTAATATATTCCTTTCGCCAGTTTTGGTAGATAGTGCAAGTAAGTTCTTTCTTGTAAACATAATTTATTGAATACTTCAATGTAAAACTAGTCGGGTAACAAAGTCAGTTAACAAAATTAATTTAAGGAAGCAGTGAACTTATTAATAGAAATATTCAAGACACCTATTAATTTTATTTACTTTACTATTGACAGCCAAAGCACCAAATGTAAATAGCCACCATGGCATTGATGACGAACAAGCATATGCGAAATGTTTGGGCAAAAACTTAGTCATACTAAAACACAATTTCGTTCGAAGACATATTGCACAAATTCTCTACCAAACACTGTGACGTACTCGGGCGCAGATACAAGCAAGTACTTAGTAGCAGCGCAGTGGGAGTACGTGCAGATGAGATTCACGCCCATTGCGGCTTCGCCTCTGCCGCTTGCGAAATGTTCGGTTATTTACGCGTCATTGCGCGGAATCCTTGCACTTGAGCCATTGCAAAATTGTACAAGCCATAATCGAACGTCAAATTTTAAAATATTGATGGCGACCTTGTTTGTAGTCAACAAATCTCGTGGTTTCTTATCACAAGTTGGGGCGGGCGACTCTGGGCCCGGAAAGTAGAAGATAATAGAAATTAATGACCAGACCATTGAAACTCGTTTTAAATCCATTTGCTTAAACACTTGGAGATGGATAATACGCCATGTAGCAATACGTCATTTACAGGGTTTGGCGTCCGAATCCTCCAAAGTGTAATTGAAGGACCAAGGAAGTAACATAAAGGTGAATCCCTTGGATTCTGGACGTGCTCGATGCCCCGGCTTCAAGTCCCTACGACGCCCCGTTTCGAGTCGTGTTCGAGACTAATGCATTACGTGTGTTACGAATTTCATTTGTTTCTTGCAAATTTCCTCCGAATACTATCCACAGAATTCCACATTTTTCGCTTTAAATATGTTTAATGCGGTTTTGGAGGAAAATTCCCTATCAAGCAGGAACGCATGAAGATGTTTTACCTAGATTCTTTTTTGCATAAAAAGTACAATGTCGACATCTTTTCATAGCGTTTATAGTAGTACATTTTAAAGATATGCAAAGGAAGTAAATTATAAATGGTACGATTTTTAGTGGACAAATTGTACGTTTTGTGCAAATTAAAGTTGTACAAAATCCGGACCTTTAATTAACATTTATGTAATCGCATAAGGGATTCGCTGAAGAAAATGATGATTTAGTCCATTTTACAAGAAATCGACGTAAAATCCCATTGCATCTGCTAGATAAAGAATTACCACCCAAGAGACGTCAATAGTAAATATAACGATGAATTTAACTGATCATGCTATGAATTAACAAGCGCATGAAAACCGCATTACGCTTAATGCTTCAACACAGTTTCCCACCATGGTCAACTTAGAAATGACGCGTGTTAAGCTGTGCGTCAAGGATCACCGTTATCCCCTACTCTTCAACCTTTGTATAGTTGAAAAACCTACTACATTAGACGCACACACAGCACAATTTGATGGTTATACAGTGATCTAAAACTCCAGCTATTCAATTAACCTCACAAGTAACAAAATTCTATACAATTTATATTTAATATCATATTGTATAATGCATTGCTATGTTTGTACAAGGACACATCTCCTCCTTCAGGCCAATGCATCCAAGCTGTGCACGGAATCCGGTGAATGGTACTCGCGTGATGAGGGGCCGTCGGAGGCTTCCTGGACCAACTTCTCTCTGTGCTTCAGTGGCCCCAAAGCCACAGTCATCGTCAACGTAGGATTGTCTCCCAAGAACGAATCGCACATTGAGGTGAGGAGCCTTTAAACCTCTCGTGGACAATATGTTTTGGTGATATTCAACTCAGTTTCTCAATACACTCCCAAGCAGTTGATTGACCGAAGAGTAGAGAGTACTTGATTTTCTGATTCAATATTCATCTCTTGCATTATATCTCTTGAAATGATTTTACGTATCCGAACGATAAATTTTATTGTGTCCAAATGACAAAAAATATTTTAAGCGAAAGATTTCCATGAATATACTTCATAACCCGACTTTTATTACCCTCTTCATTTCCCTTACATTAGTAAGAATTTCTCCTCTAAGAAACCTATAGCCGTTTTATGTCATATCAAAAAATAATTTCAGTTAAGAGTTTAGAATCAGTCAAGCAAGTAGCAAAAATGCAAATTAAAAATTAATTGCATTTTCAAACCCGACATAATTATCAAGGCATGTATACTGATATATAGAAAATAAAATACAATATAACGTAATACGAATCCTTCAATTAAATAAGTGATAAAGTGATAAAACTGAAATTGAATACTGTTCACCTAATTAGTAGAATGTTATTTAATAAAGTACTTCATTTATTATTTCCATTCTTCTCTTTCTAAACGGGTAGAGTAGAGAATTATTACGAAATTGCAGAATTACTCTGCGTTGCCCAAGAACGTATTAGTCATAGTCTATCAGACCCGAAAAGGAATGGAGTGTGTGCATTGGGTTTTCCCGCCATACTCCCAACGGCCGCCTCTGCCCCACACCGCCTCTTGGCAAATTGGCCACAGGCCGCGCGCGTGATCTTTCCTACGTCTTCTTACCCTGTCCTACCCTTACCCCTCACACACACACATTCACATGCACTACACTGCCACACGCCGGCCACACACCGGAAGGGAGCTCAGAGCTTAGGCGGTGCCCGTTGGTGGGAGATACCTGGTTGGGGAATCCTCCGGTAGGTGGTAGTCGACGATTGGTGGGCGCCGGATCCCTCCATACAGCAGAGGAAAACACCGGCACCGCCCGAGCATAAATATGCACTACACTTACAGGACAAATAACCGTTGGTAGTCGAAGCGCGCGGAATCACTAATAATCAATCAGTCCCACTAGAGGGCCACTGCTCTAAGCTCCCAACCGGTCTACCGACATGCGTGTTAGTGTAGTGCGTGTAAGTTTAAGTGTGAGAAAATAGGGGTTAGGATAGGACAAGGAAGGGGAAGGAAGAATCGCGTGCGGTTATGTAGACCAAAGTACGTATGTGTTTTTAAAAGCATCCAGGACTTCAATTGAAGCGTTTATTTCAAAATCCCGTTAAACACCAAAATCTAAAACACACTTTAGTGACGGATTATTGTGCCAGGAGAATTTGCCATTGTTTAGTCCATATTTGTTTCAAAAATATTCATTTACCAAATCCTTTAATAAAAACAATATTTTGAAATTTTAACAATTGCGAAACTGATTCTCAATTTTCTGGAAATGAGGAATTTTGCGTTTGACGGGTTTCTGAAATAAACGATTCAATTATTCTGTTATCGCCGCCCCAGCTCTATTGCACAATAATTAATATATTGCCTTTATAGATATAATGTCTCTATTCATTCTTGACTTTTTCAGCCGTACTTGTCCTCCCTGAAGATAATTTCCCAGATGGGTTACGCAGTCTCTTTATTGTCGCTTTTGATAGCCTTCATCATCTTTTCCTGCATTAAGTAAGTATTACACAGTAGTGTATTTTAAAACACGCCTGCCGTCTTATTATTATTATTATTATTATTATTATTATTAACATTATTATTATTAAACGTGTCTGATAAAATTTCGGTGATCGTGTATATTAGTGATCGACGTTGATGCTAACGAGAGTATGCGAGAAGATATAAAGTATTGAGCATGATTCATGAATAATTATCTCAATTTCTTGTATCTGAAGAAAAGTTTCCAAAATAATTTTTCCCAATGCCGAAGTTCCCATCATATTTCTTTCAATCTATTTTTTACTCATCAACATCTTCTAATGACACATTTACTCATTAAATTATCTAAATAAGTAATATATCTAGTTTATTCGGAATCCTGTTTTGAAAATTTGATAGCGTTGATGTTTGAGTCTTTAAATAATCGTTATTTCTTCTATCTTTGTACACACATATTGTATTTCGAAGTAATTTATTAAATTATTTCCCACACACATTTTTGAATTAGCCTTTATAACCTGGTCTAAAAAATAGATGTGCATAATAAAAGTTATATTCATTTTTTTTAATTTTCTGTGTGGTATATTATAATACACAAAGTAAAATTGCATATTTTTAGCTCGAAAATTGAGACGCCACAGCGAAAATTTGGAATACTTCAAACACGATAAAGATTGGTGATAAAAAAACTTCTTAGCTCTACAATCGAATCCTGTGTTATTAACATTATTTGTGTTGTCTCCTACAATAGAATGTTGTTTTTATGCACATTGCAAGAATCTGCGCCGCCCAACCTTGCATTGAAGAATGGGTATATTTTACCTCACGACCATCACAGTACTTCGCCAAATAGGAAGTGAGATGGTGCGCTAGGTTCTGTTTGCAGGAAGTTGCGTTGCCCTCGCAACAGCTACAGAAATACTCTGCTTGGAGATTGCGCGTTACTACCTAGCAAAAAACAGTATATCTAACGTAATTACTAATCTACCTCATCGCCTAGGAGGAGGCGAGGAAGTGAGGAGGTACCTCTTAAGTTGTTTGCAGGAAGCTGCGCTACCCACGCAAAGTACTGCACATGGGCTTGTTTGCGTCGCGTTATACTGCGAAGTTTTAGAATATCGCTCACCCAAGCACAGCTGTCTCTCTCGTCAAGTGAAAGAGAGGGAATGTGTTTGATGCTTTTGCAGGAAGCTAGCGCTGCCCTCAGGAATGTGCTGCACATGCACCTGTTGCGTCCGTTATACTGCGAAGTTTAGATATCGCTCACCCAAGCCAGCTGTCTCTCTCGTCAAGTGAATAAGAGAGGGATGTGTTTGATGCTTTTTGCAGGAAGCTGCCGGCTGCCTCGGAATGTGCTGCACATGCACTGTTCGCGTCGTTATAGCTGCGAGTTTTAGAAATATCGGCTCACGCAATGCACAGCTGTTGTCCCTCGTCAAGTGAAAGAGAGGGAATGTTTGATGCTTTTGCAGGAAGCTGCCGCTGCCTCGAATGTGGCTGCCAGCATGCACCTGTTCGCGTCGTTTATACTGCGTAGTTTTAGAATATCGCTCACCAAGCACAGCTGTCCTCTCTCGTCAAGTGACAAGAAGGGAATGTGGTTTGATGCTTTTGCAGGAAGCTGCGCTGCCCTCGGAATGTGCTGGCACATGCAACCTGTTCGCGTTCGTTATACTGGGGCGAAGTTTTAGAATATCGCTCACCCAACGACAGCTGTGTCTCATCGTCAGTGAAAGAGAACGGGAATGTATTTGATGGCTTTTGCAGAAGCTGCGCTGCTCCTCGGAATGTGCTGCACATGCACCTGTTTCGCGTCGTTATAGCTGCGAAGTTTTAGCATATCGCTCACCCAGAGCAGGCTGTGTCTCTCGTCCAGGTGAAAAGAGAGGGTGTGTTTGATTGCTCTTTGCAGGAAGCTGCGCTAGCCCTCGGAATGTGCTGCACACATGCACTGTTCGCGTCGTTATATCGGCGAAGTTTTAGAATATCGCTCACCCAGCACAGCCTGTCTCTCTCGTCAAGTGAAAGAGAGGGAAATGTGTTTGATGCTTTTGCAGGAAGCTGGGCTGCCCTCGGAATGTGCTGCACATGCACCTGTTCGCGTCGTTATACTGCGAAGTTTTAGAATATCGCTCACCAAGCACAGCTGTTGTCTCTCGTCCAAGTGAAAGAGAGGGTATGTGTTTGATGCTTTTGCAGGAAGCTGCGCTGCCCTCGGAATGTGCTGCACATGCACCTGTTCGCGTCGTTATACTGCGAAGTTTTAGAATATCGCTCACCAAGCACAGCTGTTCTCTCTCGTCAGTGAAAGAGAGGGAGTGGTTTGATGCTTTTGGCAGGAAGCTGCGCTGCCCTCGGAATGTGCTGCACATGCACCTGTTCGCGTCGTTATACTGCGAAGTTTTAGATATCGCTACACCAAGCACAGCTGTGTCTCTCGGCAAGTGAAAGAGAGGGATGTGTTTGATGCTTTTGCAGGAAGCTGCGCTGCCCTCGGATGTGCTGACCATGCACCTTGTTCGCGTCGTTATACTGCGAGTTTAGAATATCGCTCACCCAAGCAAAGCTGTGTCTCTCGTACGTGAAGAGAGGGAATGTGTTTGATGCTTTTGCAGGAGCTGCGCTGCCCTCGGAATGTGCTGCACATGCACCTGTTCGCGTCGTTCATCAGCGCGGCTTCAGTGCTGCTCAGGACTTCGCTTCGTGCAGGGCCTCGGCATGACCACCGACTTGCTCACGCGGGAGGAAGGCGACTACTTCAACAGCGAGCCGCAGGTGAGTGCTGCCGAAGCCGTCAAGGTTACATCTCAGACGCGGTAACCAACGCTAAATGGGGGTGTCCTACGTACTCCCCGTCAGGAAGGCAGACAGTGCCATAACGGTAGGTGTTCTTACAAAGAATACATACAAAACGTTTACTCTTAATGCCAGTTATACGAGGATTGTGGCGTAAGCTATAGCATCTTTTTTGTGATAATACGAGCACGAGTGGAAAATGTGAAATTTTCACATGAACAAAAATGGTATAAACTAAGTGCATGGGCATTTATCGACTCACCAAAATAGTCGTTCTCATTAAGGTACTTGAAATGACAGAATTGGTTTCATATTCCATAGTATTCTAGTATACGAGTTCTAAACATTCCAGAATCATTACTAACCCGTTCTGAAGCCTCACGTGCCACATCGACCCACACTTTCCTAGGACGCCACGTGTGTTGCGACCTCTGTGACATGCTTTGACATTTCTCCCATAAAGATCGCCTGAACGACCAAGCAGGACGATAAGCGCGGCTTGAAACGTGCACCAGTCATCTCGCAAAGCGGCAGACAAGCAGCACATTTCGCGTTTCCCTTTGTGCTAATACGACGCTTATTTGGTGAAGTGAATACATCTTACTGTAGCATTTCGTTCACGCTACAAATAAAATCGTGCGATTCGATAACATTGCTTTAAAAAAATAGTTGCCATGACTGCTGCCCTAGCCATCGAATTTCTTTATCAGGGCTCGGTGACCCAGAGGCAGACTATAAAAGGCAGACACAGAGATTGTCTTAACATGTGGTTGTGGCCGGATAGATGCTATTTTCACACATGATTCTCATCCTATCAACGAGTATTCTTCTTTTATCGTCACACGCTGACTGGGACAGCTCAAGGCGTCAACAGATTTCACTGAAGTACCTCTGACCGGGAGGTCCTAGGGTTTGAATCCCAAAGGTGGTAGAATATTCGACACACGCTACATAGCTATGTCGAATTCAATCGCCATAGGGAGGAGAATTGTAGCCACCGGCTGTTGTGTTCGGTAATATTCCGTGATTTCTTTGATCAATACGAGATTGATCCCTTAACAATGTGCTACCTTCCGCGGAACATACTTCCTTCCTCTTAAATATTAAACAAATATATAAATGATGCAGTCTACAATACAATCTTCAATATCATCAATTATCCTTTAAGTGCAATCCAAACACAAACCACCACTTTTTTCTTCTCCTAAAGAGTGGTATGATTTAAAGCTTTAACCTTGTTTCCTTAAGTTCAGTAATAATTAAGATAGTCATAACTATTTATCAGCTTCATAATGTTGCCTACATGAGGCACTTCCAAAGTTAGCGCTCGTCAAAACAGCTATCTGCTTGAGAGCGCAATACTCGTTCATTTACGCAACACGCAAAGACGTAATGGCTTCGTCTGTGATGGCTCGTTCCCTGCCCCTTGCGTAGGCACGAAGCGGAATATCTACGAAGAGGGATTTGGGATTGGAAAACGTATGGCAATGAAAGAAAACGTGTTTATTCGTGTTGCCTATCCCGTATCCCCTAAAATGTTGAAAAATGCATTTAAAAATGTAAATTCTTGTAGCGACAGATATAACTATACATAATTCATTTCGAAAAAAATATAGTCTTGGGTGGTTCAGGGCATCATCCGATGTATCTTCAATGCTAATGATCCGAAGGTCCTGGGTTCGAATTCCGACGGCGGCAGGGATTCGTTCTGCTGATGCCTGGAGGAAAATTCTGGCGGCCGGCTGCACTGATGTGTTGTTTCCCGTAGTTTCTCCGATCAACATTACGCGAATACGGGAGCAATACCCTTTAAACGGGCCACGGACCGTGGACTTTCTTTCCTTCCCCCTCCTTGTCCTATTCTAAGGCTTATTTGCTCACAGACTTACATGCCCTGCATTCCATACATGACGTCAGACCGGCCGGGAGCTAAGAGCTTGTCTTGGCAGGCGCGATGCCCCGCTGGTGGGTGATACCTGGTTGGGGAAAACCCTGCTAACTGGCATGCAGATCGGAGCCGAATCTTACCATTTGGTTTACTCCTCCTTCCGAGGAAACGTGCACTACAGTGTTCGGGACTAATAACCCCCTTATGGGGCATCTTGGCCTCGTGAATCGAAGGCCATCTTGCGGCTGGCATCGGCAGTACGCGTAGTGATGTCATACGCATTGCTGAAGCTGGTCGTTGCCTGATGTTCGTTTGGGATCGCTAGTACTGCAACCGTTATCCATAAATGTACCCTTGAGGAGCTCCATGACGCAGTGTACAGATTCCTCGTCCCACGCTCTAGTTTCTCTGATGGCCAGAGTTTTCAGAACACCCCGTTTAGTTGCCGGATGCTAGCGAGAAATGACGAGCAGAAAAATTGGTTTCCACCTCCTGAGTGAACTTGTTTTGAGAGGGGATGTTACTGAGGTAGTGGAGGAAGTCAGCTAAGGCATGAGGGTCGTGGGGCCACACTACTAGTGTGTTGACCACCACAGTATTGGTGTAAGTGGGGCTCACTCCAGGCCTCCATTTCGAAGGCTTCTACGGATAACTTCTCTACCACAGTAGAGAGAGAGAGAGAGGAACACATGGCCGCCCTTCTTCTTGGGCATAGAGTTGCTCAGAATACTGGAAGCCTACGCTTTCATTTGAGAAGGGTCATTCAAATTCACTCGGGAATTGTCCAACTTGCAAGAAAAAGGGAAGCGGAAGCTCAGGCAGTTCGATTTCCTTGAGCGGTGCAGTGATAACGTCGCGCTCTTGCCCTCTCTCCTATCAAGCTCCCCGGCTGAGGCGACGTTGCCTATTCGTCGAAGGGCGGGGCTCGCGCTCCCGTGGGCGCTCCCAAGTAATCTGTTTAAATGATGACAAACATAATGATAAAGTAGAATTCTTGAGATAGCTAATTTTATTAAACATCTTTAAGTAACTTGTGATTATTATAATTGAACACAAAACCCCTTAGCTGCGAAATACAATAAAATTGTAGGATTCAGGCGTGCAAAATATATATTCACATTTTTTGTTGGTAACCAAACATTTATGCGATTCCAATTTTAAAATCACAATAGAATGGCTGAGGAAATGACTCCCATCAGAAGAGTGGGTCTAAAAAACCACCAATTTTCTTTTCCAGATGAACTGGCTCTGCAGGATGATTATTAGCATCTGGCAGTATTTCATCATGGCAAATTATTCGTGGATCTTGATGGAGGGGTTGTACCTTCACAATCTCATTTTCTTGGCCCTCTTCTCCGACAACAGCGCAATCACTCTCTACATCGCGCTCGGCTGGGGTAGGTGTTGATGATTTTTGTCAGTTTTGTATATTTTCTCATGAGAGCTTTAGTCTCTTCATGATGGGTATATTATTTTTTCTTAAGAAATAAAATACTGTAAGTTATCAGTGATTCATATGTACATAAATAAGAGACATACTTAAATTTAACTATATAAAGAAATTAACAGGAATTAACTTAACTTATGGTGATAGGCGAGTGCTAACGTCTCCCATTGGCAGGGGAAATTCGCACCACCACTCGCCTGCGCCCGTTTCTAATACGTACGCGCCCGGATCCACGTGAATTGAAAGTCGCTTTCAACTTTCTTTGGTCTTTTCTGATATGAACGGTGTTGTAAACATTATCCAGACTAATATTTACTAATGACTATTCACAGTTCTTAGTTATTAATGTAATGTTGCAGGCTGTCCCTCCATGTTTGTTCTGTCTTGGATAATTTGTCGAGCGCTTCTGGAGAACACATTATGCTGGACAACAAATGACAACACGTCAGTATTTCTTCTTATCAGAGTTCCTACAACAGCATCAATCGTGGTAAGAATTTTGATCTGATTAATGAAGGTTTTTTCATGAAAAAGTATTTTATTTTGATTTCATTTATGAAATTCTGCTGAAGATAGTAAAAACGTGATAAAATAAACGAAGTTTCTTCATGAAAAGCATAGTGACACACATACACCTAAGTACCTGCTCAAGAAAGAAAATTTAAGCTATGCATAACCGCGATATTATCCGACTGATTTGTCCAAAAAGACAGGTGTTATTAATTTAACTATTCCTCTTTCTAATGACTTCTACCTGTAGTGGATAACAAGATAAGCTGCTGTGAGGCGGTCTCGCGTGCGATTTCCGGCAAATATGAAGCTGTACCTTTCTAATATAAATCTCCTCAGTTTCTGTAGAATTGTTACGAAAGAAAAATCTCAGACGTAAAACGTAAGCCAGATGCGGTGATGAGCATACGTCATACTTACAACATCTCTCTCTTCCCCGAGGATGGATAATAAATAACTACTTGGCTCAGGTCTGGGAACACCGATGGCTAGAAAAAGTCGGATTAATCCAATCCTAAAATGTCAAATAAATACGTACATACGTATTGCAATGCTAGATTTATGAATGATTCTTGTGATCCGGGTCGCCCAGGTGACGCCGCGTCGAAGGCTGAGGTGCCGACGTTTCGACCAACATGCTGTGGTCTTCAGGTCTGTAGTGCCCTGTAACACTGCCTTCAGGTTTTACAGCCGTGAAGCAGACCTCGATATATTGGTTGAAACATCACCACCCCAACCTTCAACGCAGCGTCGCCCAGACAGCCCAGATCATGGCCGCTAGATCATGACATCAATAATTTTTGTGTACTGTTGGTTCCACGTATATTTGATTACAAAATATAAACTGGAGCTAATTTTGTTTTCATTTTTAGGTGAGTTTTCTATTGTTCATCAATATAGTGCGAGTATTACTTCTCAAACTTAAATCATCAGTTTGCGAGGAAACCAAAACCTACAGGTAAGGTTTACTATTATAATAATAATTCCGACAATTTTTCACATATCTTACGTTGGTTTCTCTTTTCTAGACGATGGGCAAAATCTACATTGGTTTTGGTGCCACTTTTTGGTGTTCATTATATGGTTTTCCTCACGCTACACTTAATCAAACATAACACAGTCGAAATTGTGTGGCTATTTTGCGATCAGCTTTTCGCATCCTTCAATGTGAGTGTAACTGTATGAACTTCATAAAATTAATTCTCAGTGTTATCATACCAATGTATTGTATAATATTATATGGGTATTTTATAATGTAAGGTTAAAATAATATAAACGTTTCTTAAACTTTGAATTACTTGTACACTTGTTGCTTTTGAAAAATCTTTTTACATTATAGGGATTTTTCGTTGCCCTTCTGTACTGTTTCCTGAACGGAGAAGTAAGATGCGAGATAGCGAAGAGGTGGAACCATTTTTCACTGGCAGATCTCTTGGAACGATGCACTTGTTTGGGCCATAACAACATAGCGGACGACATTTTGAAAAACAGTGGGCGCTTTCTTGGAAGAAATCGACACAACCAATCGCGAGGCTCTTGCTACTCCAGCACCTCCTTCATGTCAGTCAGTGTGCTGCCTGCAGGCCACTGCTGCAACCCAAACAAGAAGAGACAGCAAAGCGCTTTGGAAGGGGCGGTGCCCGCGTCACGGCCACCTTGTGCCAAAAGAACGTCTCTCCGCGGGGATTTGGCCGATGTTACGGAAGTGTCCGACTCGGTGGATAAGGAGACCAATGATATTGTGTAGCTAGGTCAGGATAAGCTGTCCAATGGACCTTCAGTCTAAAGAACTTTGCGCCCGTTATGTGCATTTTAGGCTTGTGATGCTTTGTGAAAGTGTTTGTTAATTATTGGATATGGTTAATAATAATTATTATTAACTGAAAACTGATCTATAAACACACAACTGAATTATTCAACTCTTTGCAGTATTGCATTGTATTCTTTGCAGTATTGATGACGAACTAGCAAAACTTTGGAAGATCTTTAATAAACAGAATGTGTAAACGTGTATATTTAAAATTAATCAGCAGACAGGCGAACTTTGTTTTATTGTAGTATTATAAAAGTTATAAGCCGACTTGAGCATGTATTTCTTTCTCCACGAAATTTAAGCATAGTCTAAATCAGAGCTGCTCAAGTAGGCGGCGTACCTGGCCTCCACTTCACTGCAGGCAATCGAGGTAGCCCACTGATTGTCAAGGCAGCCCCGGGGCAGGGGGAGAGAGCGCTGCTCGCATTGCTCATAGAGGGAAAGGGGGGGTAAACGTAACCTAGAGACTTGGTGAAAGGTGTGTGCCCCGCTGCTGGCCGAGTCAACCCGAGGGTAGGGGAAGGCTAAGGAGAGAGGGCGCTGCTCGCATTGCCCATAGAGGACAAAGAGGGGTAGAGAGTCTAGTCTACTGAACGAGGCGTGACCCGATAGGCCACTGCAGCGACCGACATCTCTGAGCAGCCCTGATGATAATGGGCTGTACCAACAGAAGGCCTCTGTAGTCCTTCACTTAAATTGCGATTGTTTTATATTCTTGACGATTTTCCAAAATGAATGTAACTAATAATATCAATGTGCATTGATTTTGTCAAAAAATATTTATTCTAAGAAGGGAGGATGCCATGAAATGGATAAAATTATCGACTTTCTTTTTTAGATAAATTAATAGCTCAAACTTCTCTCTTCCCAAATATTTTAACATTTTTCTTCTGCGACGCCTGGGAGTCACCTTAATTCTTATTTAAATGTTCTAGTACGCATAAGTCACTCCCTCTTTGTTGACACTGCAGACAAGCATGGCATCATTTTGAACGCATGTTGGATCATTAATAATATCTTCCGAGCTGGATAGCCGTGGTCTGTTGGATATTTTGTGCCTAAATGTTTCATCTGCGAAGTCTGTAGAACTCCCTGTTCTTGTGACGGTGTATACAACAGCACCACTCTACGAACCATTAACACCCGTCTCTCTGAACACAATGGGAACTGTCATTTTGGCCAAACTCAGAAGTCTGCAGTGGCCGAAACCCTTTCTCTGGTCTTGAGCTCATCAGATTTGAAGATGCTGATGTTTTATACTGTATGGAACCCAACCATGCCAGTCTGCACCGTGAGGCCAATGAGATTCTTAAACATGCTTTTAATTTAATAAAAAAGAAGAAGGGATGAAAGACCACTCGGCATGGTTACCTACGTTGTTCCTAAGTCAACAGACGACACCAGTGCCCCCGCGCCGCAAACATACGAGAAATATTTACCAGTCAGCTGTCTGAAAGGACATCGCTACGCTAGATTCGAGAGGAGTGGGGAGTTTGGTTATTTTGACCAAAGGAATATTACGTCGAATTTGTAGTTCATTTATCCATGCAAAATTGTTTTTCATACAAGGGAGCGAACATTCCACGTCACCAGATTTTGTCTACAACTCGTATTACTATCATTTATTCTTAATGCAACTAATGTAGGGAAAGGAATAGGTGTAGATATTCCGGGGCTCAAAAAAACGAGCGGATATAATACCAGTCGCCACTGAAGATGACTGTCGCAGATGAAACGTTTGGGCACAGAATGTCGAATAAACCACCGCTATCCAGCGCGGAAGGTATTATTAATCCAGTCGTGAAAGCCTGCATTGCATGTTGGGTTTTTAACGAGTTACTGAAACATGTTCTTGTTCATACGTTGGTAGCACTAGTCTTTTCCGCCAAAGAAAATGAACCAGAACAGGGAGCAGAATGTTCTAGTAGAGCATCGTCAAGTTCTACTGACTTTGAATTTGAATTCAAGTACTACTGACTACATATCCCTAAAATGTTCTTACTTTTGTAATTAAAGAATCTTTTATCAGAAACTATTATTCACAATTTATTGAACCTTACATGAATGTAATAACAAAGGTTTTATTTTTATGTTTGTGAAATATCAAAATTTTCTAATTTACCATATTTTAAAAAATGTACATCAATAGTACCAAATTTAAAATGGGTTATATACATGGTACCCTCTCCTCTTAATATGTACATTGTGAGTGAAAAAATCGACTTTCTCGCATTAATAGTTTGTATTTAATTCCATACCTTGCTAAATTGTATGTCGAATAAAAGGAGATGTATCATTAACACATCTGAATGTATCAAACTATATAAAATTAAGATTTATGTTACTAACAATATATCCACATTGTAGTCTTATTATTATTTACTTTTTGAGTAAATATTCCGTTCGATGAATACTCAGTGTTTTAACCTCGGTCATTCAAATTCTAACAAACACTTGTTATAAATTGTATCATATTTTGATCAAAAAGTACAGAATAAACAATAGCACTGATTTTCAGCATCCTAATAAATTGAATCACGTGGGAAAATTCATCAGTGGGCCTCTGCCCCCCCCCCGTCCCGCTGCAATGTTTGGGCCAACGCGCCGGACGTTGACTCGCTGACTGGCCCTGCGCGACTTTACAGAACCGCAACTTTTGATTTTGTGTTGTAAGCCAAATCGGAGGTTATAACAAATTTAATGTTCTTTTGTATTTTTCCTAAAAGCTTTACTAACAACAGTTCACTCTTGTATGAAAGTGAATATATTCTGAATTTCATTCGTTGGACATGTTTGATAATCGTCTACGCGTGAGATGCTGTTAAGTGTAAGATATTTAGAAACATTTGAAAATGATAAAGAATTACTTGGTTATAAAGTTGTATGTAAAATACTTCATTACATATGAGTGTTTTTGTTTTGATAGAATACATTGCTGAAGTGTGTGTTCAGTACTACTGACAATCACGTGAAGTATAAACAAAATAATGTTGGTTAAGATAAATAGTTTGCTAATGATTTGGGTCCTAGCAATTGTAAACTTTCTAAGCTTTATATTTTTTGCGCTTCATTATGGCCCTGAATATTTTCAAAATCACAAAGTTGAAACCACTATCAAAATAAGAAATTAAATATTATGTACTTACACCTCAGAATATTTTACGAGTGACTGGATATGTTTAAGAAACAAGAAAGCAAGTTAATATGAGTTTCAAAAATTTACAGGGTGATCATTTACACAAGTCAAGAGAGGTTTGGTGTGTTACTTCACCGTTTAATCTGAAGACAAGAACGAGATTTTGAAATATATATCGGGTCGAGGCGTAAAATATTACGACTTCCGTCAAAATAATGATCGTCAAGACGATGTAACGAAGGATTTTAAAACCAACGGTGATTTTTTTCCTTTTCCTTGTTACAAAAAAAATGTTCATTATTACCGGAACTGCTAAAAGTGGAAGGCTCTGGCATGTATTTTCCTTACAAGAGGAGTTTCTTGATGGCACCATCCTCTCAAAATTATGTGGTTTTGAAATTGAAATTGGAAGAGTTGCGGTTAGTGTAGGGTTACGTAAGCTCCTGTACACTGGTCTTCAACGCCACTTCTAAAACATGCATAATCATACTTGTTTGGTGAATGCTGAATTACATCAGACAGTGAGACAAATCTCAAACACTAAATCCTAATAAGGCTTGTCCATAATTGTAAATTCAACAAGCGAAAAATAAAATAATAAAGGAAAAAGGACAAAATTAAAACCAATTCATGTTAACCGACAATAATTTTGAATAAAGAATTCGAAGTTAAACGTTACGAGCAGAAAAATAATAAAATTATTATTCACTTACCTCAAATTCTAACGTAGGGTACAAGCAATAACGCAACTAGTCCACCTGTTAGTTTATCGTCAGGATTTTAGATTGTTGTGCCACCTAGGCGTGCACAATTATGTTTTTATATTTAAGTTCAATAAATTATACCAATACTATTATTGACATTTCGAGTACGTAGTAACATTTTCCACTTCTTTGTGGTGTAACACACATGGAATATTCTTGTTAAACATCCGTATTTTGGGAATTCCTAATTGTCTATAAATATGCGACCACTCAATTTTGTTTTTAACACCTAACTCAAGTTGTCCTTGAATATGTATGAAAACAGTAATGGCAGTACACCAGACATTCCCAACATTTTTCTTCCATCCACACCTTTTACAAAAATTTTGTTCTTGTAAATTCCTTCGTCGAGCCCCTTGAATTTTCCACAGTAAAAAACAGCTTAGATAATCATAGCAAAAATAATTGCTCAAAAATGACTTTATTGTAACAATTCCGTTTACTAATATTTTAGAAAAATCTTGAATTTCAATAACTGGAAACTCTTCTACATCTGGGTAGCCGAGTTTCTGATCTTCATTGTTTCGCAAACATCGCAAAATGTTCAGCATTTCCTTTTAAAACTGAGCATGGTAACATTTTTGCCACATTTGCAAATAACATGTTCTTGTACGATTAGAGCATCAATGGGAATACTACATAGGTACAATTTCTTGAGATTTCTCGTAGGTGGCTCCCAACTGTTGTTTTGTACTTGCTATCTGGAGGCTCGCGTTTCAAGGTACTGCGGTAGTTCTGGTGAATGGCAGATGAGTTTTTCCGGCCCGACCCCGTCTGCCATTGGCGGGGCACTGCCTCGTTTCCTCGCGTTTCCGGTGGAGCAGTCGCGTGGGCAAATGTCGCTTACCTCACAATGCCCTACAGTTCTTTATTTGTATGAAATGTTTTATAATTCATTCCACTAAATGTACTTCAAATACATTTTTGTTATCCATTCTAATCAGAATGAGCACTGGCTCGAATCCAGCCTGATGAAAATTAATAAACCTCCTGACATGCTTGAATTCTTTTACTTTCCCGTATACATACATATGTACGAAGTATAGGGAAAGTAATGTAATGCTGCGCGAAAAAAAGTGCGAATTTTCGGATCTTCATTTTTTTATAAAATGAAGTTACTAAATTAAGAAAACTGGTGGTACACAGACTTTCTCGTATTACTTTTATATTTCCTTTGGTCTCGGCTAGCTATTCGAACATCTCACTTACTCGTGACTGTTGCCATCTATCGCCACAGTCTTTTCAAATTTTCTTAATTCTTCGGTTTTCTAATTACTACAATGTACGGAAATATCATTTTAAGAATATTAAAGAACAGTAAAACCTCGTCCTAATGGCAATTTTCTTTGAAAGTTTTGGAGTCGTTTTTAGGAAAATGTCGTTTAAGTTCTTCTGTAAATTCGAAATTTGAAGCACTTTTAACAACTTTTTTTTATTTTCGAAATACTTAATTCAAATTTATTTGTGACACCTCAAATCACAAATACAATAGTTTTTACAAATTGCAAGAAATGCGCATATTATCAACATGAGAGGTTTTTCAAAAACATTACATTTGTGTAATTTTCGAAAAAAAATACCTCGAAATGAACTTTATGTCATATTAAACGGTGTAACTAACACTATCCGTTCGAAAAGTTTAAAGGAAAAATTTGGAACCGTGTTTTGAGGGAAAACAAGTTTGAGCGTTTCTGAAAATACGTAATTTTGAGCAAGTTTTCACAGAAAACGGTTGAGTTTCCGAGAAGATTTATATGATATTATTACAAAAAATACATTTTTGTACATTTTTTGACGGAAGTTTTGAAAAAAAACACTTTTTAGGTATCAGGGGACCTCATAACATGTATTTCCTTCGAAACCTCGAAATCGAATTTCAGAAGCATTACATAACGTTCCCTAGACTACGTATATTACTCCGTATATTTCTCCGTACGTATACGGGAATATAAAAACGGCTGAGATATACTGATGAACATGAATATAAACTAAGCATTACGCATTTCTGCCGGAAGACTGCGCTGTTCTCGCGCGCAAACGAGAGCGCTATGCTTCATAGGGAGGACACAGGAATCTGCATTGGACAACGCGGTAAACAATTGCATAGGGAAGTACGCAGTGGCGCCGTGCTGGTGCGAGTGCTGTAGCAACAGAAACATCGCTGGTGTAATAGCACGAGCTGCAGCTTGCACGAGAGAAAAGGTAAATTGCGACTTCTCGCCACACTCATAACAGATACTGGATGTGTCTCCACTTGTTCTCGAGTGATCTGTTGGCTACAAACGTGAGTGCAATTTGTAATAGGAAGCCCAGGCTCGGCTCGGTGCAAGGACGTTCCTGATGCACGTTCGTATCCAACTATTTACTGGATTATCGAAAGAAGGTTCTCTTTAGCCTGGAGCTGCTCACAACGAAACTCGTGGAATCATGAGCTCGAACTGCGCACCCAAAAATTATTAATAAACATAATCTTTTAATAAACGAGCATTTTAGTTACAAAATTATGTTATTATGGGTCATAATATTAAAGATAGTGTACAGTTCACTATTATTTATCGCACGTGTTTATCTAAAGTACTATAAGGCAATGATGCAAATGGTGTCACCTCTTTTTTAGTTATCTTCCCCGTGGATAGTGTGTTAAATTATTGTCAATTTTATTTATTGTTGTAAGAAATATTTTATTATTAATTTTTATTATTGTACATTGATTGTAATTTAAAATTTCTGAAAGAAAATAATAGTGTAGTATTTAATAATAATAATAATAATAATAATAATAATAATAATAATAGATAACGTTTTAAACTTTTTTTGTAGACCATAATATTGACGATGAGTAAATGAAACGGAGTGAGTAAACTAAAAGGGATTTGAAATAACTGACCTCAAAGAGTAATACACTCAACACAAATAAGGAAAAAAGAAACAACGGACAGTTTTTATGTGGACAGAGTGTACATGCTTTACGTTCGAGTAAGGGCGCAAATGCTTATTCAATATAATTTTAATACAAAAGTTTTAGAATTTTTTAAATGAAATTGATTTTTTTTAAATTGAAAATAACAGAACTAAAATTAGTGAATGGTACTTTATGGCAGTAATTTATTGAGCTATGTAAAATTCAAAAAATATTCAAAACGAATAATTCGATGAAATTTTATGAACAGGGCGTAGGCGTCCGCGACCAGAGTCGAGATATTGGCTGCTCGGGTGACGCCGCGTTGAACGCCAAGATCTCTGTGTAAATATGGTTCTAAAAAATGAGTGTGGTTGTGTGTCGCCCGGGACGGCCGCGCCTTCCATTCCCAGTATTGACGCCCCTGATTTACGGTGAAGATTACTAAAATATACGACAATAGCACCTGATTTTACTAATCTTTGATGCGAGGAGAAAATTTAAAGAAAATAATGTCGAGCTGTTTTTCTGAAAATAGTTCTTTAAAAACGTTCTATATTTAACCAAAAATTAATCAAAAACTATTCATATTTTCGGAAAATTGTACATGACGTTATTACAAGATCTATCTTTGATGAGTAGATTCGATTACAGAAAAATCAATACTGTAGTTGACGGAAGGCACTGAAAATAAATTAAACTTTTGTAATTTTCGAAAACGCACGGATTTCAATGAAAATTGTCATTCTTTTAAGCGTATTTTATGCTGCTGGCGGACAAAATTTAATCAAAAAATTTGCAGCCGTTTATGACAAAAGTTTGAAAATGTTGTCCAGGCGTCATGTAAAGTACCCCCCACAATCAGAATATTCGTTTCAAATTCAAGAGACCCCGACATCAGTTAGATTGATCGGGGGAATATCACTTTTGGTGATAATTCTATTTCGGGTTCAACGCTAGCGTTCTTCACAGCCAGAGTGGCCCTTTTCGATCGCTCTGGGTGTGAAGACACCAACGTCTGAATTGTTTGAAAGCAAGGTGCGTAAATAAAAAGTGCCAGGGGAAGGTCATGACCCCTGTTCCCACCACATATCCCACTTACCATCAGTATCGTAGTTAGAGGAGGTCGGCCAGGCCCGGGTGACACAATTTGAGGGGTGACGCCAAATAGAATTTTATAGTTGGAATTATACAGTTTTAATGCTTTATTTAAAAATCACATTTTTTATAAAAAAACATGCATTTGTTAATTAGTTATACTTCGCTTTAGATTATTTAAAAATATATTTAAATCATTCTAAATTAAAGTTTTTTAATATATTATAAATAAATGCCATGTGAAAATATAGCTATATTTTATTAAATAATGTACAATCTATTCAGTAATAGATATTTTTATATTTAATTAATGGGAGGAGGTGACCATCAGTCTTGCCCCAGGTGACACCAACTGAAGCTATTAAAGGCCCATTCAAAATGCAAACATAAATATATGGGCCTTGGGCACAGTCGATAGCTCGAACTCGATTCTCACATCCAACCCAAAGTGAAGTAGAATGTCTCACAGCCGAAGAAAACTTATTTTGAATACTTCAGTCGATGACCCATGTTAACGTTTGCGTTTGCATGATGAATGGGTGTCGGATGCCGAGCGGCGCAAGGGCTCGAGCCTCGCAGCGCCGCCGCGCCCTTTCTCTTCTCTGCTCCTCCCGCGCGGAGTGGCCAGGCCTGGCGCAGCGCGGGCGCGTTGGAGGGAGGGAAGGCGACCGCCCCGCCACGAGGCCTCGAGCAGTCGCCGGCTGCCACTGGCTCCGCGCAGCGCTTCTCCTCGGCCAGGCAGCGCCGCTGCAGCACTCGGCGCCCGCACGCTCTCCACCGGCCACATGGCTGTAAGTACCTGTCGCCAAACGATGCTCTGATGCAATGAAATCCAAGGGGGAGGCCATGGCCTCAACCTGCCAGAGGCCCACTGTGCCATGTGCGCTCTCAAATGCCTAAGCAGGCCGTGAAATAAATTTGAATTTTAATGTTGTTGTATTACATGGGTTCAGAATACAAACAAATGAACAACAGATGTGTACGTAGGCTTCCGCGGCTCGAATCGGCACCCCAGCCAACGACGCGGCGTCTCCCGGATAGCCGAGAATTCAATGAACTTCAGAGTTTCAGCTGATGATAATAATATTATAACAATACAATAATAATATAATAATAAAATTATATATAATACAATAATAATAGATTATAATAATACAATAATATAATAACAATAAGTCTAATTTAAATTAATAGAAGAAGACTTGAATTAATTAAAAATTACTCATTAATTGGAAATAAAGAACATTTAAGAAAATAATTCACGAGGAGCAGCAAGATTCCGAAGAAAACCTGAATCCAAAAGAGAGGCAAATGTAATAAGTGGGTGATGGAAAATAATAATAATAATAATAATAATAATAATAATAAATATAATTTAATAATTTTAACAGCGAATTTTAACGTTATTTAAAAATTAACATTTTCAATGTGTGTTTTAAAACTTGAAAAAGTATTTTGAAATAAGCCAGCCTCGGACGCCCAAAATATAATTTCTCCGGCGGCCTTCCTCACCACACCTCGACGCACGCGGTGTATTACGTCAGTGCTGCAGAGATCGTACTCTCTCCAAGCACTTTCTTGTATTTACAAACTTTCACTGAAACATGGGTGTTCTTTATTTTCTCAACAATTATATTCAGAAGCTTGACTTCGTACATAAGTATTTAGAAGGCTAAGCAACCAATAAGATGAAGTTTGGAACACGTGCGTTTGTATACATGAGGATTATTCTCAGTCTGAATATACATACTGAACTTTACAATTACAATAAATGAATTACTTTCTGTTACGTAACACGAAATTAATTATAGTGGTCTATAAAAATTGATTAATTTTTAATAATATTCGTATTTCTGTAATTTTTATTCGCGAAGCATCTGTCGGCGATAGTTTTTGGCCTTCTCGATATGTTTCACATTTTTGTTTGGAGTCCTACATTTTTGTTTCGTAGTCAAACATTGGAATATTGGCAATATTTTCAGGCTCTGTTGGTATTAAAAAATCAAAACAACGAAGCTACGAAGCCTTTCCTCGCGTGAAACTGTTTGCGCATATTTGAATTCTAGAACGATAGTAAAACTCCTTGTAGTACTAAGTAAAATTTATAGTACTAATTATAATATCGTTTGTGACATTAGAATCTACCACCAGTGAGAGAAAATATCACAATCTTTTGCATTTAAAGATATTAAATTATTAGTGAAAAATAAATAATTAGAATCCCCCCTATACATGTCAAGAGGAAAACGTATTTTGTAGATTTTTATCATCAGATTCAAAAATGACCTGGTTTAGTTACTTGTTTTCACACTGCCGTGTTTTTATCTCCAAGACAGTTCATTATTATCACTGCCGCCTGTTCAAGAAAATGAATATTAGTATTAAATTAACATTATACAGTATTAAACTAACAATAATTGTAAAAAACCGTGACCAAAGTGCAACTTCACGCGTGACATACTCCGCATTTTAGACATTTTAATTTAACACAAAAAGAAGGAAGGCTTTTGTTATTAATACCGCTTTCCATCGCATAACGGAAGTAATTGGATCTAATAAATTATTGCGTTATTTAAACACGTGTAAGGTTAACGTATTTTATTTTGTTAGGAATAGAAACTATCGTAGAAAAAGCGTACGTATTTTAAACAAGTGCAACTTAGTCATTGTGAGTTGACTTTAGTGCGATATTACGTAGCTCGTAGTACTGGTCGATTGAATCACTAGGCTAGCGATGCATGATCACCTGGAGTCCGATAGACTTCATCTGGAAATCACATGAAATGCGACGGGGTGGAGGCGGAGCCCACGTGCAGCGATGGGCTCGTGGGCTCGTGCGGTTGTGTGCTATAGCTCCCGCAGAGAGGCTCGGCGAGCCTTATATAAGAGTCACTGCGGCAATCGCTCAACAGATCAGGTACGCAGTCGGTGTTCAAATTTTACTTTATACTTGTGGATCGGACAATGTTTCGCTCTTGTAGAGTATTACACATCACACACTACTGGACACGTGATTGTTAATCACGTTTTACACTGCGCTCTGCAAAAGTTCTAGCAGATGACTTTCGCACATGTGCGAGTTTGTTCTATGTCCGAGTTTGGACGTGGTTGTCAAGTATTTTATTGTTAAAACGTTTTCCCTCAAATTTGGACATGCGTTTGCTAAGACACTATCTTGAAAAATTTGATTTACTTATCCGAGATTCAATAATAATTCCGGCTGATATTTCACTACCTCAGCGCTAGAAAACGTCTTTTCAGTGAAGATGCACTTAATCCTTGCGGAGCGTGAATCGTCATAAACGATTAAATTAACAACAACGCCCCGTATTTCCGATTTACTTCAAACCACACATTGAACACTCGCATTAGTAATAAGAACAATGTGTAAAAATTTCCTCAAAATCGTTCGAGACGTTTTTGCCACTATGTGCAACATATACGCGCATATTCCCTTTTATTTATAAACAGATATAGATTATGCACTGCATTATGAAATAACGATAATTGGCTTCATCATGTCATAAGGAACACTGACGTACCTTTGGACATTTTAATTAAGTACAAATTACTTTAATTTAAATTTTAGTAGATATATATTTTTTTCGAAGAAGCCCCCAGAAACGCGACAAGCCCGCAGAAACCCGAAAGAAAGTCCGCTAAAACACTCTCTGTCAATTACAACTGGAGAATCGCATTGCATTTTCAAAATATGTTTTAATGAAAATAAAACCGACAGAGCGAAGAGAAGATACAAAATGAGTTTGGCAACACCAGTGATGGTGGCAAAAATGGGTAGAGAAAAAAATGTTGGGGGTTCCTTAACATCCCACCCGTCACCTATGTCGAGAGTTCACGGGACGAGAGAGAATCGTGCAGGGAAAAGAGAACAAGAGACTGGTGTAGAAGGTGTATTCCGTAACGTACACGGGTTCCGCAGCCTTCGCACAGAGGTGGTGGTGGCGTGGCGGCGCGGCAGGAACCTCGGTGCCTCAGCTGGTGAGGGGAGAGGCCTGCGGATCGCTCGCGTTTTTGCCCCTCGGACAGCCGGCGCCGACACGCGGCGAGGGGGGTCACTTACCTGCGGTGGCGTTTCGATATCGCCACGTATATTTAACATCGAAAACGTTTCTTAATGCGAATTGCGTAAAAACGTTGCGTATGCACGAAAGAAATTTTAAAATTTGGATACGTTTTCAGAGGTCTTGTAATATTGAACCCAAATTGGGTACTGGTGGATTCGTTTAATACAAGATAAAAAGAGCAAACAATTTTAATAAACATTTTTGGTGATTGTCATTAATGTAGCCTAGGCGGACTGTACTTGCAGGGCCCCATCAACCGCGTAGGAATGCCGGTAGTTCCGCTACTGAGGCAGGCTTACTCTTTTTCGCGTGCTTTACCCCGCAGGAGAGTTTTTAGAGTTGGGAGATAATACGAGGTTGTACAGCTGACGTAACAACTCGTTGCTGCGTCAAGCTTTATGATATTGTATTACTTTTTAAGGGAAGCTGTTTGGTGTACTGCAAAATAAAAAGGGAGAAATAAGTGAGAGAAGTTTAATTATTAATTAATAATTAATAGAAAATGTGACTTAAAGAAGGGGAGAAAATTTAGGAATATGCATGAAATAAAAATGTTAAAAAAATCCACATTTTGTAATATTGGGTATTAATAACAATGACTAGCTACATAAAATAATGTTAAATGTTAATAATGTTAAAATATATCATGAAAATGTTATAAAAATGCAATGAATGTTATTCTTAATCACGGATATATTGATGTTCTTGAAACAAATCTGCAATAATCTGATTTTGATTAATTGGATGACGACGGTTTGATCCTTAATGTAATTGTTTAACATTAAAAGCTGAGTAAAGTAAAATATCATTAAAATAGTTTCCAAGCCGTTACACCATTTAAAAATAAAGATCTTAATTAAATTCATTGAAAATCCAAAAATAATCCACAAGTGCTATTGTTAAAGTCTATCGTGTGTCAAGAGTAAAATATTTTGAGGATTTAAAATATAAATAGAAAGTATAAAACTATTTGCAACACTTTTATACAAACATTTTATATTTTGAAATAATTTTATATCGTGTTGATTCGAGTATGCCAAAGAAGGTTTCAAAAGAAAAGCACACGTTACTTGTTTTACAAAATTTATGGAAATTTACTTAAATATAATTCCAAAATCATTAACATTATGCAAAAAAGTTAATTTAGACATCCGCCTATTTTCCCGTCGATTTCTGGGTACTCGGGAAACCTGAACGGGCGCGCCCTTCTATTCTGCTTCAAAATGTAGGGAAGGGGGATGGGAGAAAGAGATATCGAGATGAAATGTTGATATATTCTAAACTGCTAGTGTAACATGACTGAACATTTATGAAAATAGATTATCTGTTCTTCAAAATTGTATTCCACCAAGAACATCCACTGCACCTTGCGTAATGTTCAAGGTCTTTGGCTTGACTATAGTAATAGTATCAGAACGCAAAAAAACTTCCATTTGTGTGGAGGATCACATGAGCATTTCACGTGGACGGCTGCCTTAAGTGCTCTGAATGCCTGCTTCCGCTCACGAATCGTTGGCTCTACTGAGCGAAGGCAGCAAGCATTCAGAACAAGGTCACGACCAGATTGTGCTAACAATTACCTGCAAGCAAACGTCTTCAACTTAGCAGTGCCAATTTGGTGACATTATACACATTTACATTCATAAATGGCACTCTCATAAGCCCTGCCTCCTTTTGAAATTGTTTAAACAACTTAAATTCTCTTTGCTTCCAAGAAGAGATTTCTTTTCACTCTCATCTACACTTCATGCTTTCTATAATTATCCATTTCCCCTTCCGATTTTCCCACCTTGTATGAAGTAATTAAGTAGTTTTTCATTCTCACATGTATATTTAATTCATTTTCAATTTGTCTGTTTTATTCATTTGTTTCCCTTCTTTCAAAAATCTTCTGATGAACTGTATAAATACAGTCCAATCCTAGAAACCGTAATTACGAAAGCACATAACTCCCTCAATGATTCAAGCAGTAAGTTTCACATTTTGTCGACAAAAACCTCTAAGTTCACTAACAATCCTCGTTCATCATTTCCCTCTATTCAACAAAATAATGCCAAATAACACCCTCCTTCACCTAATACAACACCACCTTCCATCCAACTTTTACATTCGGTTTCCCAATATACTAGTTTATATTAATACCATTTACCCTCTTCACTACCAAATATTCCAAAATACTTTCTTCTGAACGAAAGCAGCTTGGTATGTACGCAGTTCACAAATATTCTGGGACATCGTCCTCTTTGTAATACATGTATTCATCCACCAAATAAGCTGCACCTTCTAACTCTGCTCCAGATGCACCATCTATTCTAGGAGGAAGAATTGCTATTCCCGAGAATACAAAAGAAATTCCCCAAAGACTGTGTGACCTGCTCCTTTTACCCCCAGTCCCCAAAAAAACTCTACCGCCAGTATACCTATTCCCTCTAATAAATAACTCCATGATGTTTCTTCGACTGTCACGACGATGTTTCACTGTCAACTGTTCCAACTCGATTACGATGTATCATATGGTAAAGGTTAGAGAAAAAATCAAAGCGAAAAAACCTGTAAAATCAAGATATGACCATTGAAATAAACAATCTGTGATTTAATATTACTACATTCACCCCTTTATTTAATCATCCAACTCTTCAACTATGTTCACTCTTCAACTATGTTTCCCCTCATTCCTTTTTTCTCTACTCAAACAGTAAATTCTCTTTTCTGCCTCGATTCGCACATTTCCCGCCCATCTGTTTTTTTCTGACGCGCTGCATACCCCATAGAACCCCTAAGGAATTGCGTTGTTTGCAACTAAATCCCACCTTGCCTGTACTAGCTTCTAACCCTTGGGGACGAGCTTAGAACTGGAATCTAGTGGCGCATCTCATTTCTTCTTCAGAGGATCCCGGGTGGATCCCAATACCAGGTCTAGTTCAGCACTATGCCGGCGTCATTGGAAAGGAATGTCTTGCCTTGAGATGGCAGGAGTTATCTCACTGGATGAAGCTTTGTGGTGGAACGACCGTGATCTCTGGCAGACCACGCTGCCCTGAAAGGATCTTCGCGTCCAAACGAATTGTACCTCAACGGCTGCCCTCTTTTCCATTTCGATGATGTACTAAACGTGTCCATAGGGCTTTCTTGTTTACTGTTGGTTACTACTGCGTGGCGAAAGATGTGTAATGCTGCAGGGAATCGTGCACATTTTTCGATACGAAATCGAGTTTTGAGACACCGTGAAATCGATCCTCGCCAGGTGCCGGAAATGTACCTGTTAACTTCAACGTCGGGTTATTTATGGGACCTCCTGGTATCGAATTCGTTGGGCCGGAGGAGGTGGCAGGGCATCAACTGATGTAACTCCAGTGCTTCTGACTAGGAGTTGTAGGTTCGAGTCCCGACGGTGGCAGGATTTTTTCACACTAGCTTTCGACTCTGCTCGGTCGAATTCAATCGCTGTCTGGAGGAAAATTCTAGCGGTCGGCTTCTCTGATAGGCAGTTTTCTATGACTTCTCCGATCAGTACCCAAACACACAAACCACGGACCGCTCACGTTCTTTCTTCTTCCTTCTTTCCGCACCGCTTACTTACAAACCTGAGATGCACCACACAACCACACGCCGGGAGACCGGTTGGGAACTTGGAGCTTGACCCGGCCGGAGTGGTGCCCCGCTGGTGGGAGATACCTGGTGGGGAAAAGATCGTTACGCCGGAGCTGTGTCTAACGGGGAAAGATCACCACCTCCCGAGGGAAAATGCACAACACGTGCGAGCCTAATGACCTTAGCAGTTGACGTGCCCGGAATCACTAACAATCAATCAATCAATCGAATTCGTTGGCCGACTGCTACAATCCGCGGTTTCCTTGATTGCTTCCAGACGAATGCCTGCGCAGCGCACAAGCGATGCGTATCCTGTCCCCATTTTCCATCCATAAAGCCGAGTAATGTGATCGCCGTCATTACCTCTCCCCTCATTTAGATAAGCTCTCATAGGCGTGAGAGATTTGAAATACAGCAAACGTGTAGTACAGTGATTCTCCAGACGTTCTTTGCCACTCGAGGTGAAATACAAATTGTTATATTCTTGTTGAATGTTGTTTTCCCGAGGCAATCCCTGTTACATTTACTGTGGCCCAGGGCAGCAGCTGATGTTACTGCAGTGCCTCTGGCCGAGAGGTCCTAAGTTCGAATCCCAACAGTGGGATTAGATGAGACAGTGCGTTCTGGTGGCCGGTTGCTCTGTTTTACTCACCGTTCACGGCCACCAATTCCATTTGGCGTCAATGAGTATCAAAATAATATGTCAAGACTGTACAGAGAATAGTGATCTAATGGATCATATTTGGGGCATGATGTACAGATTGATCATCCCTGTCACAGGGAGTAGACAAAAGACGAATTATATAGAGTTAATGCTCTGTAAATCAATATTCTGAGGTCTCTGTGGATCCTATTTGGTTCCACGTTGGCGAATTTGACCACGATGTAAAAAAAATGAACACACGTCTGAACAAAGAGTAGTATGTAGTGAACCATGTCTTGGGCACGCGCTATAGCATGGCCAGCCCTGTTGTGTAGAGAAGACAAAAGCCAAACTATCTAGTGTTAAGCCTCTGCAAATCAATATTCAGGAGCTTCAGTGGGTCGCAATTGCACTGCGTGGGTAAATTCGGCATCAATGAAGCGCTTCTGGGCAAGGACTGCTCGCGCTCATTAACAGTAATTCAAGTCTTGCTGCTGGGCCAATCACATCCTCGGAATTTCAATGAGTGCGCGCCGGCGCGTAGCATCTGCTGTGGGCCGCATTTCGGAATTTTCAAGCCCAAAGTAGTGAGACCATTGGGAATTGATTTTAATGATTTGCAGTACTACGTGGTCGATTTAGCAAATATTGACTAAATCGACCATGAAATTACAATGACCATGAAAATGAAATTAAATATTTCGAAACGTTGGCACAACTAATTGTATCTCTACAATGACCAATCCCCTGAACCCATTTTATTTAATTTATCAACCCTTTTTGTTTGTAATGCTTCTGTGTACCTTCAATCTCATCACAACATAAAACATTAAAAGGATATTTGAATTTCAGTGGATGACATTTAAAAATAGTCCTCACTTCATGTAAAAATACTTGAGGACGTACTTCATAGGAAGAAATCGCAATATTATTGCAGTTTTTATTTTTTTTCACTGTATTGACAACTAAGTTTTGAAGATGCAATTTATTTATTCATCTATTTATTTACTTGATTATATACTTATTTAACGTCAAAAGAGGTAAAAACTGTATGTAATGTAATGGAGAGAAGGAAACAATAAGTGCAAGTTTGTTATGATGTACAAAAACATTTTTAACCACATGAAACATACAGGTTTGCCACATTTGTAATTAACATTGTCCAAAGCATTAAGCATAAATTTTCTTACTTCCCAGTACCAACACAAGAACATAAACGTAAAGCATTTATACCAGTTTGTTTTTTACTGCAGTACCAGTATTTCCCTTTCTTTACTGGATACATTTTGACTTCATTCCTCTGGTACAGGTTGAGAAAAATGAGAAGCAAATGGAGTGCGACACCCAGGAAAAGGAAGAAGCGGTTTCAGAAGGTGGATGGAGTTGGTTGATCGTGGTCGCTGTTGCAATGAGCAAAGTGAGTACTTAGAAATAGGGCTCGGGCGTTTTAGGTAAATACATATTTTCCCTTTAATCTTGAGCGTTAAATGTTAAGTGGACATTCAAGTAGCGTCGGGTGGTTTCTCTGTATCAAATTGCATATCGCCTGAAAATAAATATTTTAGTTAATTTGCATAAAAATGAATATTTTCAACGAAATGTATTATAACATAATTATCTCAATTATGAATGTGAATAAAGTATTTTCAAGTTTACATTAGAGTTTTTGGACCCATGGTTAAAGACGTGCCAGATTGGAAAGCAATGGTTGGTGACACATCACGTATTACTGTGGGACTTCCCCGGACTGGATGGAGTGAATTCAACTCGAGCTTTATTAATTAGGGCATTGTCATCTTCAACCACTACATCTTCGTATGGCAACAAGAAACATATGTCTCAGACTGTCTGATTCCTACCGCAAAGTATGGACATGCAAAAATTATAATTTATAAGTAATGTGCCCTTTAAGGGCTAATGATAAACCTACTGGAATACCAAGATGTTGCAGCACAAATCATTACAGATCCATCTCTAAATTTTGCTGTAGGAATCAGTCTGGGAGATATTTTTTGTTTGAAAACGTAAATTTGACCTGTTGTCGGAAACAATTTGATAACTCGTCACACTGTATACACTTTTTCAATTATTTCCCGTCCATATTATTATGCGCCGTGTTTTTAAACAAATTGTTGCAGTGGCAGTTCGCAGCCACCCTCGAAAATGACGTTTTCGTCTGAATTGCTCGTGTTGCAGATGGCGTTTTGGGGCGCCCTGCCGTGCTTTGGCATCATGTTTGCCGATGTGCTGGAAACCAACCCCGGAAATGAAGGAGCCACAATTGCCTCCATCATCAGTCTCTTCTCCTTTTGTCTTCCCATTTCCGGTTTGTCCACTACGCATTTAAATAACAAATATGCAAAGAGGAAAAACGAAAATGACTTCAAGCTTTGTTGATCAAATTCAGCTGATGAGTTGCAAATTCTAGCACCTCATTTCTCACGCAAGAAATGACAACTCTGAGCATCTCTTTGGTATTATAACTATTTATAATTAAAACTTCATTTGCTTATTTGTTATATATAATGTTTTAAAGATATTTCAGTTGCAGAGGTCGTTGAGGTCTGTGAGTGATGTAATGAGTAAATGATAGTGACAATAATGTGATGAATTGCGATGGATCAATGGTGAAATAAAAGAAAGGGAAACGAGAAGAACAGAAATTTTGCCGGGAGCTCGCTCGATCCCTTACATATTCAAAAGGGATATGCTAAGGATAGAAGGACCCAACGGTAATAGACAAACTAACTGTTAAAAGTGATGAAAGGAGATAAATAGACAGGTAGAAAAGGAGGGGTAGAGAAGTTGGCGAGTTGGAGAGGGAGCGATGGGTGGAGAAGAAGTAAGGAGGCAGTAGATAGGGAGGGAGGGAGGGAAGTGGAGAGGCAGAATAGAAGGGTGAGAATGTGGGAGGTAGGAGGGAGGCTGATAAGGAAGCTACTCGCAGAACCCTCTAATATCAAAACGAGTGAATCCCTTAACATTATAGGGGATTTACTCTAAGAAGGGGCCACTTTGACGGGTCGAGAAACTAATACACGTCACGCAGAGTGAAAACTTTGCAAGAGATAGTGATGAAGCCATTTGCGAATGAGCCAACTGTAAGCGAACGCACTGTTAGAGTGAGAGGACTGCCAGCAGAGGCGAAGCGGAGACGAAGGCGTGGCGGTGTGTCGCAGGGCTGCTGTGCCCGGCGCTGTACCGGCGCTTCTCGTTCCGGCAGGTGGGCGTGGCCGGCGGCCTCGTCTACTGCGCCGGCTCCTTCTCGGCCGCCTTCGCCGCCTCCGCGCTGCACCTCGTGCTCACCTACGGCGCCGTGCAAGGTGAGCGCCTCGCATGCCCAGCTCCCACGCAATGACAGGCGATTTCATGCGATTCACGGGTTTAAGTGCCAGGTAACACCTTGCTTCTGCACAAACGCTTCTCTGCTATTATTGACTTCACCGAGCATTAGAAAAGAAAATGATGTTGACCCTTAACCATCCCCCTAGCGCTGTGCAATTACTCGTACTAATAATCCATCCTCAATCGGCCCCTTCAAAATGGAATTGATGCTGGATACGGGGCACACTTCGGCTTGGTGCTGTGCGCCAGCCTCTTTCAATGACTTCGCGATGTTTCCTTCCCCATACTGCCCCACGCCTTTCTTAACGCCGTGCGATCCATCCTTAATCACTCCGATTGTATCCCACAGTAGAAGGGAGGATTGGCGTTGAGTGTCTGCACGGATCGTGTGCGATCATTCCTTCTCCGTCCTACCCCTGGGGCTGTGCGAATACTAATGGTCCATCCCTTAAAATGAATTTAATGCAGGGGGCTATGTTTACAATACTTTCTCTTCCTACGAAGTGAGGCTGTTTCGTGTTAAAGCTAAGGTTCCCACTATGAGGAAGGATCGCTTCTGCACGGACCACGTGCGACTAATCTGTCGGAATCCTTGGGATGTGCAAACGGTACTCGGTAGGTGTGGGCGCAGCCACAGGCTTCGGCTTGATGCTGAGCGTGAGCTCGGCGTCGTTCAATAACCACTTGTGCATGCGGCGTACGGTGACTACGCGATGCTTCCTTCCCCAACGAGCCACTCCCTTCCCTGTACTCGGTCCGTGTGCGATCATTCCTTCCCATCCCATCCCATCGCTGCGGCTGCGCGATTGCCAATGCCCTGCAATGGAGTGGACGGTGGGCGCAGGCGCGGGCTTCGGGCTGATGCTGAGCGCCAGCCTGGCGTCGTTCAACGAGCACTTCCGGCGGCGCCGCACGGTGGCGATGGCAGTGGCGCAGTGCGCCATCGGCGCGGGCAGCCTGGCGCTGCCGCTGGCGGCGCAGCGGCTGCAGGCGGCGGCGGGCGCGCGGGCGGCTAAGCTGGGGTTCGCGGGGCTGGGCGCCGCCGCCGCCGCCTGCCAGCTGCTGCTGCGGCCGCCCCCGTCCCCGCGCCCCCTGCACGTGCACGAGGTGCGGGTGGCCGTGGACCACGCCCCCGGGGAGAAGCCGCCGCCGGCGGGACAAGCGGCCGGCGCACTGTCTGGCGTCAAGGTGAGGCTCATTCTATGCGTGCATTGCAGTTTACTTTCCTTCCGGGACCGAGAGAGATGGCTCAGAACATCAACTGACGTCACTGCAGACCCTCTGACCGGCAGGTTCTAAGTTCGAGTCCCGACGGCCAGATTTTCGACAGTAGCTTGTCAGCTAGGTCGAACTGTGTCGCTGTCTGGAGGAGAATTCTCGCGTTCGGCTGCTTTGATCCGCAGCTTTCCGTGGTTTCTCCGTTCAACATCAGGCGATTGTCGGAGCACTACCCTAACAAAACGGGCCACGGATCGTGTGCGATCTTCCTACCTCTTTCTTGTCATATCCTCACTTCCTACACACATATTAGCATTCACTACACTGCCACGTATGGCGCAAGACCAGACAGGAGCTTAGAGGTTGTCTCGGTTAGGGCGGTGCCCCGCTGGTGGGAGATACTTGGTTGGAGAAAACCCCGCGAGCCGACGGTAGGTTCGCCCCGGATCTCATCATACAGTGGAGGAAGACCACGCCACTGCACGAGCAAAAAATGCACTACACTTATGGGACTAATGGCCCTACTAGTTGGCCCACTCGGAATCGCTATTATTCATTGTTTCTGGAGACATTAATCTTGGTAGTGAAGGGCATGTGGAGGCGTAATTCCTTTGCCGCCAGATACGGCGCTGGCATCTGACAGGGGAACCTCTCCAGCTTGCTTGAGGCCGAGGGTGTAGCGTACGTAGCAAGGGGTGTGGGTAGGACAAGGAAGAGGAAGCAAAGATCGCGCGTTTGTTGGGATGCTTACGGCATTCGCTTGGTGTTGAGTCAGAACAGCCTGCCGCTAGAATTCTCCTCCAGACAGCGACTGAACTTCATCTAGCTGCATAGCTAGTGTTGAATATCCTGACACTGTTGAGACTCGAACCGTGAGACGTCAGTTGTTGCCCTGAACCTTCTAAGATGGTGTCTCACATATACATTACACTAATACTTCGCAACTAATGGAGGTGAGAGGTTTCTATGGTTTCGTTAGATAGTCCCGTTTGATAGATCTATTTTGACTGAAAAATGCAAATACTTGATTAAGTTATTTCCCCTATTGTCGTACTGAGTGAATTTTTACACTCAGTGCGGCACTGGTCACTACACAGATGACGTCATGTGACAGGGAGTTGCAAAGAAGAGACATACTCCATCTAATTTTCTTGGAATGTAAAGAAGTGTTGGACTGTGCATGTACCATTTATAAGCATGTTAGAAATAATTTTTCGCAGAATGAAAAACATATTGCATAAACATTATTGGAGAAAATATATCAAACCAACTATTTGCTGATGACATAGTTGTAATAACAAAATCATCGAGAGAGTTACAAGAGGTGCTAGATGACCTCCTCAAAAATAGGAAAGAAATAATAATAACAACAACAATAATAATAATAATAATAATAATAATAATAATAATAATAATAATAATAATAATAATAAATACTCATAAGAAAAATAATGATCAATTGTCCGATAATGTTGCTAAGAGCTTATGGTCAAAACATACAATACTTACACAAGTAACGATATTTGTGCCAGATCATATTCTTTAAGAATCCCTCTCAATTCATAATTGAAAATTGGATATCACAAGTGTGGAAAAAATTCTGGTCTTTAAAATTCAAATTACTGAACAACAATTTTAGCCTAAACATAAATACAGGTATTGTGAACAAGTATCCTACCAATATTATTATACAGTTCACAGGCATGGTCACTAACGGAAAGGAAATAAATATGATAAAAATATGTCAAAGGAAGAAGGAAAGTAATATATATATATATATATATATATATATATATATATATAATCTATCTAGCTTATTTACAATCCTTCACAATATAATAATAATGAGAGTGTTTTACTTTTTTTCTTTGGAAAACCATTTTGTTTGATAGCATTTTTGCTGCGGCAAGCCACTGGAGGTAAATCCAATGTGTATCCTACAACCATACGATCAGTAATAGTCCAACATTGAAAAGTATTTGAACTAGTATTAATAGTTTTGAAAATATAAGCTCATTTCCTTCTCCTTAAAATATAAGGAGAGGAGATCGAAAAACTTGCCGAAGAAACGATAAGATGTATGTACAGAGTAGGCACTTATGGAAGAATGTGAGCACAAAATGACGACATTCGAAATGACAACCGGACGAATTCATTTTGTTCGCGAATGAAGGCGGAACGGCTCTTGTTATTCATTTCTCTTCATGATGCTGTTCTGATACCTTCTGGGTTTTCTTAACGTTTCGTCAATAACTATACCATACTATGAATTGTGGTCGGCCTTCGCAAATGTTATGGTTGGTTGGTTAGTCATTAGTGATTCCGGGCGTGTCAACAACCGAGGTCATTACTCCCGTAAGTGTAGTGTATGTTTTCCTCTGGACGTAGCTGTGATCGACTCCCGCCGAATGACGAGATCCGGGGCCGACCTACGTAGGCTAGCGGGGGTTTTCCCCAACCAGGTATCTCCCACCAGCGGGGCACCGCCCCAGCCGGGGCAAGCTCTAATCTCCCTACCGGTTTCCAGGCATGTGCGGTAGTGTAGTGCTTGTTAGTATGTGCGTGAGTAGGAGTGAGGATAGGACAAGCAAGGGGAAGGAAAGATCGCGCGCGGTCCGTGTCCCGTTTGTTAGGGCACAGCTGCGGCATTCGCCGTTGATCAGAGAAACTACGGAAAACTACCTATCAGAGCAGCCAGCCGCTAGAAGTCTTCTTCAGACAGCGGCTGAATTGGACCTAGGCGAATGCCAAATAAGAGATGTTTTGTAGCATTAAGCTTGGAGAACGCTTCCGTGTTTGCCTCTTAGACATTGATGAATAAGGTTCCAAATAAGATCGAAAGCCCTTTGGGGTCATTTCAAAATAACGACACCAAAAGATAACGTGCTTACCAACACGATGTGGGGCTTGGCCGCTCCACGCATTTCCTCTCAAGCTATCTCCATGGCGGCAGCGCCCTATTTCCACCACGATATCGAGATGACTTCCACGAAATATGTTCAATAATCAGAGGTCATGGGAGCTTCTGCAGATGAAAAACGCGCTTTGTAGATGTTGAAGAGAACCTACTTGATGACTTCAATGACGTCACCGGATCTCATCGGAAGCCATTGCCTTTCCATGCATGAAGACTTTCATTTAACTTTCTGGCTCACGTCAATGCACATAGTTTTGATAACGCTGCGCTGGCAACTGCGTTGCTCACTTCTTGGTTGAATTGAACATTCTTTAAAAAATGGCTGAGGTGTTAGTAGCGCAGAAAGTGCAATTTTTCAATATTACATAGCTGTTTCAAATAACGCGAAGAAGTATGTGATATTGAGGCACCTCTAGTTAATTTTGTTTAAACAATTTTTACACAAGAGCATTGATGAAATTTTTTGTTGGATACTCTAAAAGAAGTTTAAGAAAACGGCGCAGGTCTCATGTTAGTAGAAAAAAATAATTTTTCGAAAATGGAAAAAAATACAAAATTTGTTCGGAGTCTTCTGCAAATACAATTATGTATATCTTTTTTTCTTAATGAAATGTGTTCATCAAAAACAATCTTCAAATAAGATCATGTTCAATTTTTCAAAAACATGAGTATTTTTTGCGAAATTTTTTGTCAAACATAGGCAAGTTTTATTTTCTTTAAACCATTTTTTCTTAACATCTTCACATCATTTTTGGATTACTTTGGAGCCTTTTATAACACAACGGACGCTTAATTGTATGATGTGGGTCACATATTCGGTGAAATTTAACGAAAATTTTAAAGAATTAAAGTTTTGGCTCCTTCCTTCAACGTCAAAAGTGAAAATATATTTTTTCTTAATTAAATGTGATCATAAAAGGCTGATCTTTAATTGAGGTCGTTTAACTTTTTGAAAATATGAGAATTTTTTGTGTAATTGCGTGACAAACATAATATCCCGCTCCCACTGACTGCTTTGACTACTTTTCGTTTTCGTAATGAAGGTAATTCCAGCGGGATGCTTCGTAAGTTAGAATTTATATGTTACTTCATATTTCTTTGTTCGTTTTTCCATTCGAGCTTTTGTTATGTTTACAAATTCATCTTTTATAATTTATTTAAAACCAATTTTAAATTGCGATCTTTAATTGAGTAAATGTAAAAACGAGTAGATGATTTTGCTTTGCATAATAATACGTGGCAATGAAGAGTATGCGTGTAAAAATCGAGAATTTTGATGATTATAACAATATATTTAATTATGGTTTTTTTTTTGTATCCATTTTCATTTTCTTATCAGGGGTATCAACAATGCTAATTTGCAAAATGTTGTATCCCATCCGAATTATCCGTCGTTGTTGCGTGTTGCAACACTGTTGTAAAACCTCACTGATAACAGAAGGTGATAATCGCGGCCGCAGTTCGTTCGCAGTAATATAAACTAATAATTGTATTTACGGCTAAAATACGCATCGCGCATCGTTGGTACATTTGTGTAGAACATGGATATACTGAATTCAATGGCAGAAAGCTGTTTTCGTTTAAACGTTTGAATTTAAAAATTATATGTATTTATCACGTCTCATTTGTTTAAGAATTTTTCGAATGGTAGTTGATGTGTATGCTAAGCTATTAGCAATATGGTGAGAAAGTACGCGCTGTTGTAGCACCACTAGTTTTATTATTTAAAGAAATGACGCAGGTATAATTTCTTTGAACTATCGGAACTATCGAAAATTTCAAAAGTTAGAAATAGTGTGATTAAGTATGAGTTGTAGCTTTACTAGTTTAAAAAAAATACTTCTATGCGTACTGTTTCATGTAGCTCACTTTATAAGTGTAGACAATCCCGGTGTCTTTATTGTTAAATAGTAATTTTTAATTTAAATTTGCGCAACGCACAAAAACTGCCTATATGACAGAACCTCCAGTCGGAGGCTCCAGGGCAAGTTAGTTTTGTGTAGCCCTGACACGCTCCGTGGTCCTGTGTGCGAGTTCCTTCGAAAAGAGCGTTATCCACCAGTGTCATCGTTGGGGTCGTGACAGTGAAGTCGTTAAAGCGCTTATCACAGGAATTCAGCCGTTAACCATGCGAGGTTGTATTACTCGCTTGTGTGGACTAGGGTATTATGGTTAATAATTGAGATGCACTTACTAAAAAAGATTTTCACAAAATCATACTAATTTCTCAATTTCAGATTGATTCTTTTGTCACTATTTTTCTTCTACATTTACAAAAACGTAGCATCTTTTGAAACAGAATTTCATTTGAATTTTCATCTTAATTTTATTTATTTATAGATCGCCTCTAACGTACTCATTATTGTTATAATTGTGAATAGTATTATTAAGTCGAAAATATGGACAGATATAATATTCGTTTTACACTTCTACTGCAAAAATTAATTTTATCTTTCAGGAATGTGAAGAATCTAAAAAAAATGGAATACTGGCAATAACTCATTCCTCACCGGATACGACTGAAGGCCTTTCGAAATGGTACGTAATTTGTATGGTATTGTTTAGATCAAGTACACTTTAATCAGTAATGGTTAACCGCATTCATCAAAAAATATTAATGATGTTAATATGCAGTGATTTTTCACTACTGACGACTAAAAAATTCCCATTGCTATCTAAAAGTATATTTGTTTATCTCGTATTTCTTATTTATGTTCTGTTTAAGCACATGGCGTGAACTTCCTCTCGATATACTTGTTCTTCATATTGTTTTCATTTCTATCACCCACCATTACAATAATTCTCAGATCGTTCCTCTTCTTACACGTTCATTCCACTATCATTTCCTTCCATTGAACTTCAGTTGTCTAGTTCATCTTAAGCTCCCTATTCCCTATTTTCCCTATTTTATATGAAACTTGTACTTCGTTCTACTATTTGGTACCTTGTTTCTTCTGAATGATTGTTACTAGTGGTGCTCTAACGTGTTTTGCATGTAGTTTTGCTTACTTCTTGGGGAAACATTGAAAGATATCCGTTGAGCAGAAGCAGATGTGTCCTTTGGGACTTCAAGTGCTCGAAATATGTGTACTGCATATGTCAGTTTACATTCTTGCATACCAGTTAAGTAGTATAAAGAAAGTTTTGTAATTATTCGTCAAAAAAGTTGATTTCCGACCAACTAGTGTTTTGGAGCTCAGGAAAACTGGATAAATCATGTGTCTATATCTAGTAACTTACCTGACCCACAGGTTGTGTAATATAATATACGTTTTGTTGATTTATGATTCCGAAATATTTTTTTCGGCAAAACGAGTGTCCGCCCGACAGTCCCCCAAAGGTAAAATACCTTAATAATCCCCGTAACTTTTTTCTAGATATTCCTCGTTAGGTTTTTATCCAGTTTCAGTACAAAATGTTTTAATCTGACAGCGAAATACATTCTTCCTTTCATCTATCCGTACTTTCGGGGACAGAATAATGGCACGTATGTATGCATGCTCGTATCTCCTCGCCACCTATACCAGTCTTAAAGTTCTTTAGAACAGAACTAATATACTCTAATCCTGACGTGTGCTTAAAGATACTGCCCAAAAGATCTTTAAAGACAGATTTTGCGACCAACCATTCGGTATCGTATTGTTGAGATGATTTAAATGTTTCTCATCACTAAATTGAACGGACAGGGAGGAAGGACAAGTGTTGGAATTAAGAAAACGAGAGCGAATTATTCTAATTTTGTAATTCTTTCACATATTGAGCTATGTAAAAGCATGAGCAAAAATGAAAAAATCTATAAAATCGGATTTTTTTCTTCTTATTACACATAAACTTAATACAAATAAATTGTTTGCAAATATTAATTCAGGTGACCAAACGTAGAGACAATTACTCTTTCCGGAAAACAATTCTAGGCCACTATAATTAATGATTTGCATTATTCGCAGGAATTTTCTCCCTTCACAGAAGTTACAACCTATACGAAGTTATCCGAGTTATAACTTGGAATATTGTTTAGTCAAATGTTAGATGTCAGCTTGGAGGATTTTATTACTGATTTGTCAAGATAATCTCTTGCAATTCTCTATAGTATGTGTACGAAACAAAGGTTTAGAAGAAACTTTATGAGAGAGATGTCGGTTGCTGCCCTGAAAAATCGGAGGTTGACAAATCGTGTAATTCATTACTAATTGTTTTGAAGTTTATGAATTTAAAACTGCAGATATATCTGGTAAAGAAATGACTACTATTGCGGATACGAACTTGAGAAACGAAATTGTGAAACGGTTTGGTAAAAATGAAATACCCCGCGTCTCCTTGTTCATTATCTGGAACTTCAATTAAGCGTTACAGAGCGTGCAAGATAAAACCCGCAAAGATAAAAAGTTTTCTACTTGTCCTTGATCCCACATGAGAGTGCATTTTTTCGACAACTAAGACAAATTGTTATTACATGTTATCATCTCTTTTGACCTGTGGTAGTCTTAACGATTAAAAAATTTGCTTTATCAAGAAGGCGGGTACTTTTTGTTGTGTAAATAATACAAGAATGGCGTCCTGTATTCGAACAATTTCAAGCGGAAGTGCGCACTAAGCATTTATGTTCCTTTAACTTAATTTTATTGCACATTATGTAATGTTTTCTGAAAATAATACAGGTCTATGATAAATCTCTTGGTGTAAAATGTGAAATAGAATCCAAATACAAACTCACACATTCTGCATAACCGATCCTCGCCGCTACAGAAATCATTCTGCGGTAGAGTTTAAACTCTTGAACGATTTATGAATTTATTTTTATTCCTTTGAGTCAGCAGCTTTTGGTAAAATATAGTAAGTTCTTCGCCAAATTCTACAAGCGTTACTTAATTATGTATTTTAAAGGTTTTTGAAGTAATTAACATGTTTTCGGCTCATCGTGTTTTCGAACGGTTCTTAATCCATGGGCTTTATCTCATTTAAGTTTTGTAAGAAAAACGATTCAACCCGCTGTATATGTAAATTGCTACAAAATATACTGCTGCAAAATGGACAGAAAAGGCCACGAATGAACACATGACGAATGAACACGTGACGAATGGACAAATGAGTGACGAATGGACAAATGAGTGACGAATGGACAAGTGAGTGACGAATGGACAAGTGAGTG